AAAAATTAAGTTTCATTATTATTCTCAAGCGTTCATATGTGTCTTTGTGTATCGACACAAATATTCATTTAGTTACGTTTGTTGTACACATATTTTGCATGAATCAACATAAATTTGCCAAATTGAATGTACAAACATACGCGCATATTGTTTAAATAGCGTTTACAAACGACCAAGTTTAAAGCAACACACAGTTTTACCTCCGTTTTGTCTATATTTCTTCCATGTTATTTTACTGTGTTGCGTGTTTGTTGTCATTTCAGTGTGAATATATGCTATGTTTAGCCGATGAGTTTTGCATGGCATTTATCGGGACATTGAGCAAACAAATATGGCAAAGGATCTGTTTCTAATTTGCATTTCAAGCTCACGGCAAATGTTGAATTCATATTTGTTGACATTAAGTCAATGTTCAATGGTTTTAAAGCTATATCATTGCATGTAATCCGCTCAAAATTTTACTTATTAGTTGCTTTGGTTTACCAAAGCAGGACGAATATGAAATGCTTATTCATATTGAAAATAGAATCATATCTTACGAGATTTTTATGCATCAAAAATATGCTCATTTTTCGTATGTCATTGTGGTTGACATGTGTCATACCATTCCATTGACCGTTGGTTACACACATCAAAAATCCACTGGATTTCGCCATAATAATTTCACATTTCGGAAACTTTTTTTATATTCAAATTTATTTTCCAACGAACCCACAATACTAATCTGGAATACATTTTCAGAGGTCTGTTTTGTTATTTGAATTTAATCTGTGTAGCAGATTGATGCCGCTGTTGCTGCTGTTTCTACCATCACAATATATAATTGAGTAAGCTTATGAATATTCGATTATAAATGAAATTTGGGACACAAAAAACCATAACAAATACATATATATATAATTCAGAGGTTCACTTTTGGTTAGTTTATCCAGATTACTGCATTTTCTCGGTCTGTTTTGATTTCGCTTTAATGGAGTCACTGATGCTAGGTTACAATTGACTCGAGACATTTTTTCTACATGAATTTGAATATTTTTGGGCAAAGGAATGTCATAAAATTGGCATACGTACATATTTTAAAAGGATACATTGACAGAACCAAGCCTCGATACGATATTAAGAGGAAGCATGATTAGTGGAATCAGATCTTAGCTTATGAAACGTTAGTAAAAGTGACGGTGGATTTTTGTTAAACTAGTCAATCAGTCAAGAAATTACAACTTGAGCGGTTTTTATGACTTTGGCTTTTAAAAAAAGGATCGAAAATTCAGAGCATGATTCGTACAATACAAAAGGAAACAATTATATCTCAGTAGATTATTTTTAAAAATGAACATCCCTTCGCATTGAAAAATAATCTTTTCTACTCAATCTTCAAAGCAATCCAATTACACATTACTTTAACGATAATGGTTCAATTTTAAATCGGACATCAACAAATCGGACACTTAATACACTATCAAATTGATATCAATGGTGTTAACAGATATAAAATAAGAATTTTCTCCTAAAAAAGAAACAATTTCAAAATCTTTGGATCTTATGCTTGCTGGATGAAATTATACGAGGTGCTGAAATTGTGCGTAACATGATATGATTGTGACTGATACGTTGACCCAGAAAACGCACGAACGCTCACAGCTACCTGGATTTTCAAAAGGTGACTGACATCAGCGCTGAGTGAAACTCTGCGTAAAACAGAAAATCTAGCACCAAATGCCACGATGGATCACCTCTTTTTGCAAGAAATTTAAGACCAAAGAAGACGTGGAATGTTTTATATGGCTACATTCGTGGAAATCCTTCAATATTGGGTGAGTGCATTCTTTGCAAATCACTTTCCTCATAACAATTGATACATATCAATGGCAATATATTTTTTTTTTTAAACAAAACATGAACTTAATACCAAAACCTTAAAGCTAGATTTTCGCAAATACCAATGGTAATGTACGAAGAAAAAAAAAAAAACAATTTAAATCCTCTTTAAGAAAATAATCGATGTTTTTTCTCGATTTTATCATGTTTTTGTAATGATTTATCTCATAATTCAGCAGCATCGTTCAAAATGGTCTCGAGCGAACTCCATTTCCTCTTTTAAGAATTGACTTCGATTTGTGAAGAAGAAAAAAATTCAATTTTAAAAAATCGAACAATATAAAAAATATTTCGTCGATGATCTGGACACAAATACTTGCAGTACATTTTGAAATGACTTCGACCGATTCATGTATTGAGAATGGAAAAAGAGCATCTCCAAATCGAAAACGATTGTATTCATACGACAAGCACATCTGTATCAGTGGTGAAGAAGAATCCATACATGAATAACTGATGGCGCATTATAAATGTATCATCAATTTTGGTCGTTGCACAAATTTCGGGGTGTGCCTTATTTGTTGCTCGCATTGCGTTTCCGGTCACCACTTCTTCATTTTTACATGCATGTTAATTCAGTTGAATGGGCACATATCATATAAAAATGAAATATCAATATTACATTACTCGAATGAAAAAAGAAGAAAAAAATTGACATAATAAAATAAATCAAGTGGCATATCGATGAAAAGCACGTCTTACTAACAAACAGCAAGCCAAATCATTCTATATTCTTCAATTTTCGGCGCTTAATCTTGTTAAAATTTGGATGAAGTATTTTGTATTTGTTGAAAAATTGAGAATGTTGCATATGACCAGCGTTCAACCAAATACGAAAAAGAAAAACGCTACAGAATATGCGGAAAACATGCAGAAGAAAAATAGATCGAAGGAAGCGGAGAGAAAAAAATCCCAAGACCATAAATTCCAATGACGAAATATGCTAGAAATGCTTTACATACTTGCTTGTTTCACATTTTCAATATGAAGCTTTGACATGCACATTTCATATCTGATTCATTGTAACAGTCGGGAATGGTTGTTTGTTAAAAGTCGTGGAAGGGAGCGAGTGAGAGAGTAAGAGTGCATTATTATCTGCATAACTGAGTGGTTTGATGTGAAAAACAGCGTGTTGACGTACTTTTTATCTCATTGTTAATACACTAAATCGTGGCTCTTCACAATCCACATGAAAGCAGAGGGAACATGACGGAAATCGATGAACAAAACGTTTTTTCGATAAAATAACCTAAACTTGATCTAGCTATATGAAGTGAAAAAAACATGTGCAAATATGTTTTTTTTTGTTTTTATTGAAATTGACCAACGATTGGAAACGCTGCAGTTCAGTGTTTAATTGAGTAGGGCGGCGCCACCGTCTATACATACAAATGTCCATTTAAATCAGCGCCATCTACGCTAAAACATACTTTTGGTTGAAAATAAAACGCCATCATATTCCGACATTGAAATTGACCATGATTATTGGAATTATTTGATGATTTTTTAAATTCTTGCGTTTGGATGATCTTAGATTTAATTCGAGTGGATTGAATCAGAGAGCTCATTGCCCACGTTTGTTCTTATTTTCCAATTTACCTGATTTGTATGGATTCAGACAAAAATTGCCGTTCCTGTAATTGTACAACGACCAAACGAATGTGGTCGAACTACGAGCAATTAGTCGATTGCCCCAGTTTATACTATAATTTCCTTATCACAAGGACTGTGACAATAGCGACATTGATCAAAAGTTGTACGTTAAGAAATTGGAAATATTTATATTGCTTTATAGTTCTTCAAAAAAAGCATACAATGACATCGCCAATTACATCCATTAGCTGACTAGCTCTACAATAATTAACTACCAATAAAAAAAACTTAAACTGAAAAACACCGGATTATTTAATTATTTATGCATCAAACAAAAAATATTGTATTATTGTTTATATAAAAAGAATAATGACAATTTTCTTTAAATGAATGAAATTATGAACTTAATCAACATACAAGGGATAAGGTCCCATATGATAAAAAAATATAGAAAAATTAGCAGAAACTGATAAAAGAAAAGAAAACTTCGTGTTTTATTGCTTCAATTATAATTACATGGGCGAGCGGCCCTCCTAATATCTAATTTTTACTTTTCTTTCATAATGCAAATGAAATATCTCGCATGCACATTGCGAATCATGCGCAATTGTTTTTTTTCTCTTCCTATTGCCGTTTGATTGCTTCTTTTCTGTTTGAATTTTTCTTTTTCTTCACAATTCGAAGATTAATTGCAAGAAACTATTCTGACAACGTGCTAACAACTTTCGCTGGTTGCATGCACTCACGATGTAAAACAGAAATAACCCATTAAGTGCTAATATCCGGTGATTTGCTGCTCTCTCATCCACAAATTCATTTATATAAATCATTGATTCTGTGGCAGTAGGAAGAGCACAGTAAAAATAAAATTCGTTTATCATCGATGAAATTGCGTTTGGTTTATGTGGTTTTTATTGGTCCATCGCCATTAAAGTCCTCCAAAACTCATTAATCATTTGATAATTTATTAAATGTACGATGCCGAACCGATGATGAGCGGCAAAATAAGACCAACCATTCCCATGCAAGTCATTTATCTGCTGCTATTTTTTCTCTCGTCGTCGCGCGCTTTTATTGTTTTGTGGTCAAATTGGACATGGGTTTAATATCATTTTTTTTTTGTAAAAATCATAGAATAGCGAAAAAGTATAACGTCTACAAAGCAACTCATATCTTTGTTGATATATTTTCAAAAAAAAAATGAAGAAGAAAATTCTTCACTTGAGCTTTTAATAAATCGTACTTGTTTTTAAAGTAGAATCTATGATAAAAAGAATCCATTTTTTCCACTATTTTAATACTCTTTACACTTTAATAACTTACACTGATTTGAATACAACAAGAAAGTAAGCAATTAATATCAAACGTTTAAAATTCGTCTCGTTATTTCTTATTCAATTTTTAAGCATATGAAAATCTCTTCAAACATTGTTTTTGTTTTAAAGACCAATTACACAATAATACAAAGTTAATTTGTTGTATACTTGTAAGCAAAGTGTGAAAAATTTGAAAAAAACTGTCGTACTTACATTTTGTAGTTTGGTTTCTTCATTGTCGTCATGTGCGAGAAAAAAAACGTTCACTGATTGAATTAACAATAGAGTACTTGATTTTCCGAGTACAATTCAAATGATCATTTTCCTAATAAATAATTTCAATTAAACTAAACGAAGATTTAAAAGATTTCGCCGTGTGTGTCGTTGTAAAAGCTTGTGTTGTGTGCTGCCTTCGACGAATGTTTCTTCTATTTGTTTGATCAGAGTCGTTGCAAACGGTAAAAGTGGTATCGGTCTTGGTACACTGCTTACAAACGAACGGTTTTGTGACGACGAGTGAAGCGCAGAAAAATGTGGAAAAAAGCACGTTCTTAATGCTAAAACGTTGAAACGAATGAACAAGCGATTTGCTACAATATTCTGTAGTATAGTGGTGCTGCTGTATCGAGATTATTTGTTAGTTTGAAAGCAGAACAACGACGACGATGATGATGACATGAAGTAAGATAGGCGAGATGCAACAACAAAGTTCACACACATTTATTTTCTCGAACACACTTGTTCTACCCGTGTCTCTCTCTTTTTTTTATAAATATTATCCGTTCGGTTCGTCATTCGCAGAGCACCAACAAAGTTCTATTAATTCAAATACAAAGTGTACCCGTTCGGTTGGTTCATGCCATACTCTGTTATGATAGGCATGCGCGTTTAAGTTAAATTCCCAACATAACGGATTCTCGCAATTCACAATACGATAGATTCGTTACGAAAAAAAGAGAAATGCCATCCACATCGTGCAGCATTCAAATCGAGACAAGCACACACTCCCAGCGCTTACGATGTAATTGTTAATGTAATATCGTATTGGACAATCCGTAAGTTCAACTCTTTTTCTCTCTTTTTTAGCTAGTTTTTGGTGATTTTTTTCATCCTTTTTATATTTGTTAGAGGAAAGAGGAAAGTGAAAAAAAAAATGTAACATTTGCTTCCATTAAACTTTGTTGCTGGTACACAAAAATTCAATGGATAAACAAATAAACAACAAAATGGACTCCAAATAAATTCATTAAGCTTAACTTTGACACACTTCAAACGCATCTCACAACAAATAGACGACATTTCGAATGTGTGCCACTTTTTTCAGCAAGCGTAATTATTCACGTTTATTTGACCGATTTAAGTGTATCGATGAAGCTTTCTTCGATATTTGAAGTCGATTTAATTCATTCGAGCATTGAATTTAATGTGTTGAAAAGTAAAAATAATTGCATTTCAATTGAAAACTAGTGCGACTTTTTTTTATAGAAGAATTATCCGAAATCGATTTACTAGAATTGAAAATGCAAACAATTTCGGTGAAAATTGCAACTTTTTGAACTGTTTATAGAACGAATGCCTTTAACACTTTATATTGCCCGCGGAGTCTTATTGAGGACGAATTTCTGTGTATTAATAATTATCCAGGTATTCATTGCACGTTCAAAACACATTATTCAAAATTATACAAAGAAAAATTGTCAAAATACAAAGTTGCATCTAGAAGATGCTAATTAGTCGAAGACTAATAGTCTTTGCATTTCTTTGTTAGGTAAATTAAGCGAATCTTTACTATTCATACAAATAATTCAATTTGATGGCTTTTGTTAAATATTTAATTTTACATTTAAATCGTTTTGAGTGTAATAAAATCAAGTTGATTTGTAAAATTCCTTTGAATTTACCTTTCTTAATTAGAAAAAACGCTTCATATTCTGTAAGTTTGACAAATAGATAGAAAGAGAAATGTATGAAAATGCGATGAATGACAAATCCGTAATTAAAATGCCATTTTCAAAGATGACACACACTTCACCTTGAAACCCAATTCACATTCTCTGTTCAATTTAAATGAAGAAATATATTGGCCCTTGGCTAAACATTTAATTGTGAAGTGACATTTTTGAAATGTGATCGTGTCTCTTCATTCTGCAGACAATGAAAATGATTTATTAATGTCTGAGAAGTGAAAAACGAAAAAAACGAGTGAACCACAGATATTTCATCCAAAAAAATTTAAGGTCCAGTTGCAGTGTGGTGTGTATAGTTGTTTGTATATTTTAACAAGATGAATATCATGGTTCTTATCAGATTACCGTAATAATTACCATTATCGTTATCATTGTTTCCATCTAGTTGAAGTGTTTAATGGGTGAACGTAGCGGTTGACGTTATGCAAATAGAAATGCATTCTTCGACACTTGATTCTTCCGAAGTTATGAAAATCCAATTTAGAAAAAAAAACTTGTTTGTGCACACTGCCAATCGTAATACCGAACGAACGAAACCGAAAAAAAGCGTGCCACAAGAAAGCTGCGAGAACATTTGATATGCGTCAAACTTTTTACACCGTCAGATTTCAATTTCAATGAATTTGTCTGCACGAGCGTTCTTTTTTATGGTCATATCGCGTTGTCGGGGATTGGCACAATAGGAGCACGACAACGACATTCATGTAGTTTGATAATTCTTTCAGCAAATGGAAACTCAATTTAAATCGAAAACGAAATTCGAAGATGCAAAATGTCTTTTAAATTCCAAAGTGCGGCAGCAAGCCAAAATTCCAGACCAGCCAAGAACGAATGGCGAATCGAAGAGACAAACAAAGATGGATTTCAAGAGCGTGCATACAATGTTGAGTTGATGACAGTGACGATGATAAAGATGAATGATGAAGATGAATTTAAAGATGAAATAGTGCATTCTTGGATGGTTACAACCGAATTCAAAAAAAATCGAATGACCAGCGTCTGCATGCCAGTTGCGATGCAAATGAATGTCTTGTGAAATAATTTCACTTCAAATTTCTACCTCTCATTTGTATTCATTTTTCGAATTGTTTTACTTTACATAATGCATCAAGTCACCATATAAATTTAACATTTGCTCTCACCCAAATTTTTCATGTTCGTCAGTGTTATAGTATTGCGTCGATCTCTTTCATTCGTTAAGATTTTTTTATATAGATTATTGCGGATTATTGACGAATCAAATAAATTCGCTGGATAATTTGCTGTTTCTCTTTTATTCGATGGATTTATTAATTCAATTGTCTTGGAAATGCATGCAATTTGATTAAATGTTCCTACTTTTTTTTTGAGGTCAGAATCGTTGGCAAACAATAACAATGGGGAAAAACTAGTTTATGCATACATATTTTTGTCGCTGGCTACGATTTTTTAATTGTGTCCGGTGCAAAAGAGGAAAATTAAATTGCAATGTGATGCTATTGTTTGCTTGTCCCTGTATTCGACATCGCCACCAAGCAACAAAATATTGCACGCAATGATAAGAACCGTTTGTGTGTTAGGGAGATAGCGAAAAACACTCAGAGAAAAGTAGATAGAGAGAAAAATGGCTCCATTTTTTAAGAATCATGGTTAATATCTAGTGAAGTTTGCTCTCGATATGTTATAAAAAATAGGTCTCCACAAAGATGACAAAAAATAGGAGAAAACAAGATGGGAAAAACGAGCAACGATGAGCGAGAGAGAGAGAGAGATGTTGATGAAGGCAAAAGATGAGAAAATAAAAGACAATTATCCCGGTGTTTTATTCACAAAAGCTCTTTGTTTGGTCGCTATTATCATCTACAGCGAGATGATAAAAATTGAGAGCGATAACTTCAACGGTTTTGTGGCCGATCTCAAAATGAAAGAGGGAATTCAATCTTTTTTGTCTTTTGCTGCATCGTCTCGCATACTTTGTATACCAAACGTTGACCATATTGTTGTTTTTCGATTTTTTTCTTCTTCGTGCGTTGTCGTCGTTGTTTTTGTTTCAGCCGCTGCAAACAGGAACAGCATTTTATTTATTGTATAGTTTTTCATTTGAAAACTAAACGCGTACGAATGATGCATCTAACCATAGCCATAGTGAAGGATAGAAGAAAAAAGACATACACACACTTATCATCTAGATGCGTAACGCGTTTCGCTGCTAATTTTTCACTTCATTCAGAACGAAAAATCAACAAACAAAAAAAAATGGTGAAAAAACAACATCCGTGCTGGTTTGTCCACTTCCTCTCATAGCACTCTTAAAAACCCAACATAATTACCAGCAACATAGAATTTAAAGTGGGAAGAGGTCACGCTGTACCTACACATAGTGTGTATGCAAGTATGCATGCAAACGAATGAGCTTAGAAAGACATAAAAGTTCAGTAAATATCAAAATTAAATCCATTCATTTCATAAACAGCACAATTTGATTAAGAGCACGGTTCGTTTGTCTATTTAATTCACATTAAACAATGTTTCAATCAGCTGGCTAATGGGGGAAATAATTCCAGCCATATGTATGCCAGTGCCGCTTCTTGGGTTGATGGCGCAAAATAAAAAGAGACACAGAGGGTGGGAAAGAGAAAAGAGGTCATTCTTTCACCAACTTAGTTTTTATGTTTGTTGCCGTCGTTGCCGCCATCGTTGTCTTCGTCACCGTCGCCCTTCATTCATTAGGTTGCATTTGTCGAAACGAAAACAAAAAAATTGTATCTCTATTTATTCAAGCGAACCAAATTGCCTTAATTTTCGGCAAACAAATAAACAAATGTGCGACAAATCGGTTTCATTGCTAACGGCTGTCGTGTATCGATTGTTGACACTTGAAGGTAGGTAAATAGCTACGCAAAAAATATTTGCCCTGTGATTTGCGCTTGAATCATTTGTTTTTATTTTGCGTACCAAATAAACAACAATGTTCGGCGTCACATAATTTCGCAACATAAACATACAATCTTGTGTTCATCGTTTTGAGATTGATTTAAAGATGAGCCAATATGCTTTTGACAACAGCAAAATGATGATATTCCATAAAGTATTGACGATGAACGAGATAAAAATCTGGGATTAACTAAGAAAACTTTTCATTTTCAATCTCGATCCAAATACATTTTCATACAGCAAACACTCGAAATTCCAATTTTATCGGAAACGAACCACTTTTTGTTTTGGGACGAACCAACATTCATATAGCTATCTCTTTTTTTAAATTCAACATTTAGATACTTACGTTCAACAAACAAACTCGAATAGATCAATTCGCAGCATGTTGCTGACTTTCATCAATTTATGCTTTCGTCACGTTTCGCTAACGTGCTCACTGCCGAATCTGTGTTTACCCTTAAATCAGATGTTGTTGTTTCTTTCTGTGATGCAAAATGTGAATGTGGATCAAAGCGAAAAATGGATTCGCGTCGTTTGAATAAATGTAAAAGTCGAAAATGAAAGTGATGATAATGCAAAGGTCGATTCTTTTTATTTGAAAGGATCGGATTTATTTAAGCCAATACATATGATGAAAAGTATGAAAAAAAAATGTACTGAAATCATTTTGAACTTTTGCATCAAATGATTTCCAAACTTTTTCCATCACGTAATTTTTCGATCGTTTCAGACAATTCTGACTTTTTGTGAATGTTTGATGCAAATAAACGCTTTAATTTTCTTTATATTGAAAGTGAGTAGACGACGTGGTTGATCAATTCAACCGAAATATAATTTTGATTGCGAATGATTCTCTTGTGATGCGAATGAGCCATGCAAAATAGACTTACTTCTTGGAATGAATCACTTTCGAAAAGCGGTTTTGCAAAGTCATCGGGCCAATTTATAGTTTCTTTCGCTTTGCTTCAAGTCTCGGTATTAATATTGTATGAGACGCGACTTTTTTTGTGTCGCTGAGAGGAGAAAAAAACAGATTAATCAAGTTTTAAATTACGTCTAATTAAGGGACACAAACCATCGTCGTAGACCGGCCGATTGCTTTTGATGAATAATTTAAGATGTTTAATCGAACATCAAGCAACAAACCACAAAAAATGCGCACAAACAATCTTGTTTTTGATCTTTAGACTTGTGCGAAAGAAAGAAAGAAAATTCGTTAAATGAAGGATCGAAATGGATTTATTTTTTTAAATGACTGAGAAGAGAGAGAGAGAGAGAGAGAGAGATATGGAGAGAGAGAGAGTGGAAAGAGCGTGATTTTCCCCATCAAAAATCATCAATCGTGCTATAATATGAAAAGATGGCATCGTATCGTTATATTTTGTTAATGTTTGAATGCGCGCATGCCATCAAAGCACACACCATCATATGCATATAAGCCAGAGTAACCAAGCAAATGTGATTGTTCTGTTTTGCTATCATCTCGGATCTCGTCTCTCGTCTCTTTTTCTATCTCAATTTTCCTGTTGTTCTGTTGGAGAAACACACTCAAACGGGAACGAATCACACATAGAGTAAGCGAAATCTTTGTGGCAAAGGAGCAGCAGCAGCAACAGCAGCAGCAGCAGTCCTTGTATGTCTTATTATGATTACTGGAATTATTTGGCTGTTAGCGCTACTGATCAAATGGATAAAGTTGTGAATACTCTTGTGTGTCCATATTTGATGAAGACGAGAACAACACCAACAAATACAACAACGCCAACGACGACGGCGACAGCAACGATGAAAACGCGTTCAGTCGTCGAGAAGTGGAAAAAACACATTGGTGATGCTAGTTAGTTGCTATTTTGTCGTCAACTAGAGACAATATTGTGTTGAGTATGGCGAATGCGGTGAAACGTTCACTTTTCATTTCAATGGAACTGTGTTCGCTACAAATGGCCAGCAAAATCTTTTACCAAACAGTAGATTTAAAAAATGGTTACGAGTAACTCCGTCATTTATATCAAACAAAGTGCATGTACAAATTCATTTTGTGGTGTTGGAAATTGTGATGACTCTAGTTACCGAAAAATAACTGACGAAAAAAAGAAACGAAAACGTGCGGTAAACAAAAAGTGATTTTTTCCCTCATTTATCCGAGACGTTACTATTTGAAAGAAGAAAAAAAACAGTTCAAGTGGTTTTTTTATTTCCGATTTCGAGTGGTCATTCTTTGTTTTGTTGTGAAGCACTGCGACATTACAAGTTATTCCATGCGTTGAAAAGTATCTTTTTTTACTTACAACATTTTTCTGGGGCATTTCCGAAAAAAGCAATGAATTTGCTTCGAGTATTTCGTTAAACTGGTAGGAAAACTTATTTCCGCCTCAACAGAAAACACTCCATATATTCACATGATTGTTTGATCTATTTTGAGCCACTTGGGAAATTGTCATTTCTCATTAAATTTCGAATTGAAATTATTGTGAATAACTGTCGATTCTTGGTCGTACTTTAATTTCGAATTTGAATTGTAGTTGAAAAAAGAATAAGAGCGAAGCGACGTGATTTTCGTGCCAAAAGTGATGTTCAATTTACGACGATAATTAATTCTGAAAACGAAAAATAAATGTGATAGAAACAGAATGTAAGATGTTATAATTTATGATGAACAACAAGCACTTTGTACAAGTTTTGAGGTAAAACTCTTAAAAGTGGAGGCTTTTTCGTCAATATTTTGCATTTGTTTTGCGACTAACGGAATTTTCGTTCGAAACAATCTCTTGAAAAAGAATTTACAATATTGCGCGTTGTTATCTTTCACATTTGGTATTTATGTGTAACACTTGTACGACTAAGTCCTCAATGAATATTCAAATTGGAACAACACATTTGCTGGTCTGATGTAATGCGTGTTCCATTTCGAGAATACTTTAGTGCAAAGCGACATTGAAACTCGAAAAATTATTCATTTTACAGTGAGCGAGAGTGAACCCTCAACCTTCATTGTTCGGTGCACGATTTTTTTTTCGCCAGAAAATATTGCAAATTTAATATATTCACATGATAATGATTTGTGTGTGTCTCGTGTACTATGCGCTAATGACAGTCACATTAACACATTCTGCATCATCATTTTCGAGAACCCATTAACCAAATGCCATACGTTTTGTGCGAGGGAGCCTCTCTGTTTTTCTCTATATCGCTTTTATCTTCTCTTCATAACAACCCAACAGATTGGGATCGTGAATTACGTGATGCCATTTCATCAATATGTTTATTGCGAGTAAACAGTACCCAATTTTTGGGTGAAGAACTCCGATGATAACGTGATCAAAATGTAATAAAATTCAAATTGAATTCATATAAACACATTAAAATAAATACTAGCCAAGGAAAATAATAATAAAAAATATTGTGTTTTTTTTTTCGCATGTGTCACAACGCTGTTTCAAAAAAAGGGATCAAAACTTGAAATAAGCCTATGCGCGGGCGTGCCGCACGGAATCATCTTGAGAACGGAGTATGCTCAACAATAGAACATAAACGGAATCTAATATGCGGATTAGAAGAGTACTTAAATGCTTGAAACGGTTCTTTGTGTGTCAAACATACTGGCGTTTTTATTTTTTTATTCTGTGTCAGTCGCGCTGATATTGAACACTGGGTTCATGGAAATCAAAATGGAACAAATCATAAACGATTTTATTGATTGAATTAAAAGGTTTCACGAATAAAAGCACACTTTTTTCTCCTATCGAATAAACATTTTTATATTCAAATCTTCAATCTTGGAATCATAAAATTTTCTATTCTTCCAGGTATTTGCGAGTTATTTGAATGGTATGAAATAACAAAAACAAAACATTTTATCATCATTCATCTTTGAAAAAGTAGTGAAAACATTGTGAACAATAAAAAAAATTATGTGAAACGTGAAAAATTAAAGAAAAAACTCAACATTAATCGAAAGACTTGAGCATGAGAACCCAAAAATTGTAAAGCTATTTCCACTTCGATGTGAATAAAAAAAGATAAACACTTGACCACATGAGCAAAATTAGTATATTTACAAAATTGAAAAAAAATCGAAGGATAATCCGTAAAATAGTATGACGAGAATGAAGTCAATAGCAAGTGGTTTAACTCTAAAATTATGAGAAATGGGGAGAAAATTGACAAGGACAAACCTCTTAGAGCAACATCGGCAGCGACGGCGTTGTTGTGTCAATGTAAAAATAGTGAAACGTTGTGAATGTCAATTTGTCGTCTCAATAAAGAGCGCACCCACAAAACCATCTAATGTGTTCATATATTGATGACAAAGTTAAAAATGTGTCCAAGGATTTCGCATCTGCAGAGCAACATCATAGCGTCAAAATTCAGCCAATAAATTTCAATAAAAGACTCTTAATGACGTAACCAAACGCACAATGTTCCCTTGGAAAATGGACTTTTGCATCGTATTTTATATGTTTTTATTCTTTCACATGTACAACATTGCCAGGTATTCTTTACACCGAATGATATACGTCAACACATATTTTTCACACTCTTTTGTTTGTTAGATGCGATCACAAAGCTTTCACTGCAGCACAACTGGAAAATATTACAAGAACATTAACACAAATGCTTGAAGGATACGATATTCGATTGAGACCCAATTTTGGAGGTAAATTTCACAATTTCACTTCATGAAATGATCTACGCCAAACAAAAACTGAAATTATAACTACTATCGAAAATGATCGAAATTTAAAGCTTGATTCGACTTTTTCTTTTTCTTCACCTTAAAAAACGTTATAATATGAAATTTCGACAAGTAGATGTTGAAATTAAAGTAGTGTTACCCTTGACGATTTTTATTAAAACATTATCTCAAAATTCTTCATGAATTATGAATTAATAATCTATTTTATTTTAATTACGAGAATTTTCCTTTCATAAAAACTATCAGTTCCAATTTAAAAGCAATTTGAAAATGTAGCAAAAAAACAACGAAAAAGTGACTTGAATGTGAACTTTTATCGAATTGCCAACACATTCTAAAGCTCGCAAAACTATAAGCCGATTGCCAAAAGTATGTGTTACATATTAAACAAGTTCATGGAAAAAATGTCTACTATCACTTTCTCTATACAATAACATATTAAACAAACACTTGTTGTAGAATGCTGCTGAAACTTTCGCCAACAAAAATACCAAAAACAAAAACTGTGCAAATAAAGCCCATGAAAATCTGTTATTCGAGTGTCCAAGATAAAATTTAATTTCATTTGCATATTTTAATTAGGCGACCCCCTACGTGTTGGTATGGATTTGACGATAGCCAGTTTTGATGCCATATCCGAAGTGAATATGGTAAGAATAAAAGTCAAAATAAAATGAATTTTTAATTTCGCTCGACAGTAACAACTATTCTGCACACCGATAGGATTACACGATAACGATTTATCTGAATCAGTATTGGCGAGACGAGCGCTTAGCATTCAATACGTTCACAACATTTGGTGATAATTCTCGTAGTAACGATATGCTCACATTGTCTGGAGATTTTTCCGAGAGGATTTGGGTTCCAGATACATTCTTTGCTAACGATAAGAATAGGTAAAAAAGACTCCATTTCCCTTTTAACGGCGTTCAGAGAGTGTCTGAATTGATAGCGTTTCTTTGTCTTTGTTAGTTTTTTACACGATGTCACCGAACGCAATAAATTGGTGCGTTTGAATGGTGATGGCACTTTAACGTACGGCATGCGGTTCACAACAACACTTGCATGCGTAAGTCTTTTGACAAAGTTTCATATCTATCCAAATCTACAAATGCGTTAATAAAATTAAAAATTTCAATTTTATTTTTTATTTACAACTGTCATGAATATAATCATCGTAATTAAATAATCACATTTTTCTTGCATTTTTCGTGCATTAAACGTCTCTAGCAAATGGACCTGCATTTTTACCCTTTAGACTCACAGAACTGTAGCGTGGAAATCGAGAGCTGTAAGTAATTAATAACACTGTATAATCTTCGTTTTAGTCTTTGTGCACAATTGCACATACATTGACTTCTACTACTCGTTTTTTCGTTCTGTTTTGTGGTTTACAGATGGTTATACAATGTCCGATGTTCTCATGTACTGGCAGCCAACTCCCGTGCTGGGTGTCTTCGATACTGAACTTCCACAATTCACCATATTAGGATTCGAAACGAATGACAGACAGGTATGCAAATAATCCGATTTATTTTCAATTTCTTTGTGTCTTCAGATGCTTTTTCACCATCAATGTTGGTGTTATCTCTGTATTTAGGAGGAATTGGCAACGGGAACCTATCAACGCTTGTCACTGTCATTTAAACTTCGACGAAATATTGGATATTTCATTTTTCAAACATATTTACCCAGTATACTCATAGTTATGTTGTCTTGGGTGTCGTTCTGGATTAATCACGAGGCGACTAGCGCCAGAGTAGCATTGGGTAAATTCCAAGTTCAATTCGATTTTGATAGACCAATCAATACTTTTTTTAACTGAACTTTTTTTATTTGAATGTCCCCGTTTTGCAGGCATCACTACTGTGTTGACGATGACCACGATAAGCACAGGCGTTCGTAGTTCGTTGCCACGAATATCGTATGTGAAAGCAATTGATATTTATTTGGTGATGAGTTTTGTGTTTGTATTTGCGGCATTGCTTGAATATGCTGCCGTTAATTACACATATTGGGGTGCTCGTGCGAAGAAAAAACCAAAAAAGAATAAAACAGAATATAAAGTTACAGGCAAGATAAGATTACGGCCACATTTTTCTCTCTCCACTTTGAATTTCAATTCTATTTCGTTCGCAGGAAAAATAGCAACAAACAAAAATGAGGGCTGTTGTTCATCATCCGAGGATATAATTGAATTGCAAGACGTTCGAATGAGTCCGATAGCATCGTTGCGTCATCGCCAATATACATGTGCCGTAAGCGCGACATGTGGCACCATCGCCAATAATTCAGAACAAGCGGATTTTTCACAATTTCCGCCAAGCTTTCGAATGGTTCGAAACTATGGTGGAGTGTCTAGCTTGAGTCGAAGTAATCCACACTATGGTGTTCGTTATCGGCATCCCAATAGTGCGAATGCATCTTGTTCAAAGAATCCACATAAAGTCCGACCAAAGATGTTCCATGCAATTCGACGCGGTGCACGCATACTCCGAAAATCATTGCCAACCATTGAAGATGTCAATATTATTGATAAATATTCTCGTTGCATATTTCCAATTAGTTTTCTTGCATTTAATGCAGGCTATTGGATATTCTACTCATTAGAATAATCAAACCATCCAAACTTTTCCTCAGTTTTATTCAATCGATTGATCGATTATGAAATGGATTTCAATACAAAAACACTTCTTTTTCTATATAAAAACAAAACAACGAGTTAATCAACCAAAAAAAAAAAACAACTATCAACACAATAGAAACCAACAATTTTTGAATATATTAAGAGAGAATGAAACTATACAAATTATAAATTAAATTTCAAATCAATTAATAAAAAACCAACAACAACCAAAAACAAATTTACAAAAAATGAGAATATTTCAAAGTAGACAATTGATGACAAATTTTAGCGCTGAAAATAATAATATTATTATAGATGAGTCACTAAATAATCAAAGAAAATGAAGAAAATCTAATTTAAAAATCAGCATCTGACTAGTTAAATTACATGAAAGTTCGATTCTATGGAAGACGAATAACTAAAATTATGTATAAGAAATGAATAAAAACTGATGAAAAATGATTGTTTCGATGCTTCTTTTTCTTAATTATTATTTTCTCAAGCTCTTTCTTGATTTTTCTCGAGTTCGGTGTTTTTTTCTTTAGAGTTGGTCGAGTATGCAACGACCGTATTCGAAATGGTTTGAATGTTTGTTTTCTGAGCTTTTTCGAACGAAAAGAATTTCGAATATGAAACTAGAAAAAGACAAACATATCATATGAGAGGAGAGGGTGATTTGATGATGCTGTGTAAATGTTGTGCGTGTGTGTGAGTGAGTTATGCTTTTGACGTGTGACATTTGAATTACCCCTCCGAATAATTGGAGAAACGAGCATCACATTCGCATTGTGAATCAATTGGTATATAATAGCAAATGGTATATACATGACACACATGGAATGGATCAATCTGTGATGAATGAAAGCTGTTGTCAACCAAGCGTACTGGCACGCAATTTTTTTTCTTCGTCAAAAAGGTTTGACGTCAAGTTCCAAACTTCCGAAAAATATTTCATTTTTTTTTTTAATAATTGATATTTTATTTTCCATTCTGAATTTATATTTTTCATAGTAATTCAATAAATGTTCGTTTGCAAAATAGAAAAATCATTATGCGTTGCGCTTCATTGTACGGAACAGTTTCAATGCTAAAAATATAAATTGCGTAAAAAAATTCTTTGAATGGTTGTTCCCATTCCACATAAATCGGAATAGGCAAGTGAGTGAGCGAATTTGGATCATCACATACAGAGAATGAAAGTTGTATGTTATTAATGAAAGCGAGGTTTCCAATTGCATTTGTGTATCCGCCACCAAGCAAATTCATTGATTCATAAAATCACGAAACTATTCAATTCATTCGATGCTACTGTTTACTGCTACTACTGATGCTGCTGTTGTATGTTGCATACATTCACAAAAACACATCGACAGATAGAAGAAGCAGAAGAAGAAAAAAAGTCGTCGGTGGTACCGAGAATTGAATGAATTTTTCCTTGATTTGGATGAAAATCAGACGCATGCGTTACCATTGCGTCCGTCACACCATTACATCGCAATCAATTTTGCGTACGGTCATGGAAAATCGGTGTCACTTTTTTTTCATATTCAAATAGCTTTCGGTAGACGTGTGTCTGTGTGTGCGAGTCGAAAGCAATTTCGGTCCATCTCCATCTTAACATCTCATACGAATCGGAATAACTTTCAGTCTTATGAGCAACGTATCTTGAAAATAACGCAACCGATATGGTTCGTTCAATCAACTAAATAAATTTTGAAAAAAAAATTCTGTGAAAATCCATCTTTTTATTTCCAACTCTTGTTTGCTCGTAAATTATTGATTGATTTCGAGAGACCATTTGTGAATTAATAAAACTGTTATTTTAACTAATCAAATGTGATTTGTGAGCAGATAAAAATTGAGGTTACTTAAATACAAGACATACTACGACTTTTGTCTGGGCTGTGCTGCATCATTTCTTAAGTGGAAAAAAAAATCATTTTCATACATTTTGTGTGAGTTATTAACCGTTAGAAAAGTGAAAAAAATCGAAAAAATTGCCAAATTATCAATGAACATTGTGATTTAAATGGTGTGATGTAAGTGAAAAAGTCGACGCCACATCGACAGTGAAAACACACCCAAAACGCGTTACAAGAACAAACGACCAATTTGATCTGCGGAGCGCTGCTGTACAAACGAGCTTGTTTTTTTCTCTCTCGTCTGTGTTCAATTCGTGCAATGATTCAGGTGGATTGTATGCGTTTCGTTCCCGTCACAGAATCACACACCGTCAATCTATCCCAATAAAATTCAATCAAATCGTTTTGTTTTGTGGAAATTATCGTGCAAAAATTCATTGAACAATATTTGTCGCATTTATTTGATCAAGTTAAATAAAGAGAGAACAAATGTCGCAGACAAAATGACTAACACGTATTTAACATGAAACGTGGCTATAAGAGAAAACTTATATGGCTATTGCCGATCAAAAAAATCGGCTAAAACAAACAACAAAAGAAAAAAACAGTACAATTCAAAACGAAACATTTAAAATGGAGTATGAGTGAGTGAATGATAGTGAATTTTCCGGAAATTTCCAGGAAATTCGTTTAATGATTCCCAAAACGTAAGCATACTAAAATATATACGTAGAAGAGGGTAGAATTTATTAAATTGTATCAGGAATTTAACCTATGAAAAAGCTTACAGGTAATTAAAGTAGATTATATGAAAATAAATGGAAAGGCTCTTGATTTAAATGCAAATCCGAAATATTTTATTCACCTATTTTCTTACCAAGGGCCGCACTTTCATTCATTTCTATTTAATTGGATATCATATTTGTATTATCTGCGATAATAATATCACGAATGAATTATTTTCTGGAAAATGAAGCTACAGTATCACTTCATAGACGATTAACAATATGGCTGCGAATGAATCATCGAAGAAAAAAAAAATCCATGCATCTTAAACCCTGCAACGTCACAAATGATAACCCCAAAATTGTGCAGAAAAAAAATTTAATCGACCCATATCTTCAAACACATTAAACTCATATTAAAGAGAGATTATATTTCTCGAAGAGTTCAAATGATACGAAAAAAGTTTTATATTCAAGAGTTCACGTGCGTAGCATTAATGCGTGGAATGTATTGAATCAAGAGCTTTTCATTCATATCGATATGATCGAGGTCATTAATTATGAAACATTATTTAAATTGAAATTGAAATAATTTGTTTGAACAGTTTTTTCTGCTTTTTTTATTTTAAGAAATTTCACAAGAAAATGGAGTAAAATCACAACATTTTTCAAATTGATACTGAAACATCCGAATAAAACAAGTGATTGTTATAAGCGTTGATATATTATATATATTCAATTAAAAGCGAGAAAAGACCATGAATAATTTTGTATTCGTCATCCTGACGCTATTTTTCTGTGTATTTTTTGGTAAGTTAAATCAAATATATTGCGTTCTTTTTTGTTCAAATCATAAATGTTCGTTTTATTGAATGTGAATGAGTACAGCGTTTGAGAGTGTATGTCTATAATATCAATGACGTATGTGTGTATGTGCGACAATTTGATACGAAAAACTGAGTGTTTATTGTTGTCACGTAAAGGATGAAGAGAGTGAAAAGGAAAGTTTTGTTCTTTTTGTCGTCAATCATGTGTCTTTTGTTGAATGAATAATAATTTTTGGTGAGCACGCGGAAGCTGTACGCTTAGATTGTTGTGGATTTTGTTTGTGACGATAATATACATATTGAGACATACGACTGGTTTAATTTGAGCCAAGCAATATCGTTTTCGCCGCACTCTGTCTCTCCACAAATCCGAATGAACGTGAATCCGTCTCGGTGTATGTAAGTCTGCGTGTGTAAACGACGGCATTCGATGCTGTCTGTATGTGTGTGTGCTCGTGTTCACATCTTTACTCGGCAACTCAACGCTTGTGCGGTTGTGTTTGGTTGTGTAAAGAATAATACTTGAAAATCAATAATACAGCATCCCACACGGGTGCTTTTTTCGTCTTCTTCTTCTTCTTGTTTTCTCTGTTATTCGCTGAATGGTTTACCATGGAAAATGCGTGGTACTCAATGAATTGTTAGGCAGACAAAGTTTTGAAATGAGAATTTTCTTTCTCTTTTTTATATTTCCATTTTCGCACGAGGCAAATTTTGAGGAAAATCATAATTAGAATAATGCGTCGGTGTTTCATATAGTTTTCATTAGGTGTCAATTCTTAAAATAAATGTAACTAAACATTACCTTGCAAATTTATTCCATTTTTAATTCATGTCTGCTGTTGGAATTTCCACCCACGCAGCCCCTTTGAATGGTGAAACAAGCGATTCGAGCAGTGAATCAGACATAAATCCTGTAATTGCTGGTGCCGCACGGCAAATTTATGGTTCAAGTTCATTACGAACAAGTGGAAACAAAAGGCAAACAAATAAACGTCGAAAAAATAATCATGGCATAACAACAACTACAACACATCAACCAAGATTTGAAGAAGACTATGATGACTACGATAGCCGGTATCCACATGGTACTATGGTAATACATGAACAGCCACCTTTCTCACGGTCACACTTTCCACCACCGGTGGTGGATCCAAATCTGAACGATGCCCGGTTTCGCCATTTGGGTCCTGGTGTTCGGGTGCCTTCGGGCAATGATGACACCGTTTTTGGAACCCGACATGGCGGTGAACGACAAGGCGATACAGATGTTGATTGGAAAACGTGGGATCGTTTCGGTACCAAATCTGATCATGATGATAACCAGAATACGGTCATGCATCCGGATGATGATTTCATGCATATGGCAAACAATGACGAAACCGATAGCGATGATCGTCTTGACGAACAACTCTGCACACTGGGCTGTCTGAATTCAGAATTTCTCTGTCCACACAGTTGTCAATGCGTTCCAAAATACACTCGATGTAATGGTGTGATCGAATGTGATTTTCAAGAGGACGAAGAAAATTGCGGTGGTATGTGCAATTGTGCAATGTGCATGTGTGGTCGATTGGATTCGTTTTCAAAACATTTCATTCAATGATTTTTATCGTTTCAATTTAGGCACATCCAATGTAGAAATTATTCAAAACATTAAAAAAGACTGTGAATCAAGCGACCATCATGTTTTGTGTCCAAAGACATTTGCCTGCATAGCCAAAGACTTTTTATGCGACGGTGACAATGGTAAACATATTTATTGAAAAGCATTCATATAGTTCTACCCTTTTAATGTACGGTTTATTTGATTTTCGGTAGATTGTGGTGACTTTAGCGACGAAACGCATTGTGGGGCTAAGGTCAAATGCGAAGAAGATCAATTTGAATGCGACAACGGACTTTGTATACAACATCAATGGGTTTGCGATGGTACGATTCTAATATACGAATTTGTTTATGTTCTTGGAATATTTCAAACATTTTTCTTCTTATTATTTTGTTTCTTTATTTCTATAACGTCATCACCACAGGCGATAATGATTGTCAAGACTATTCCGATGAGGTTAACTGCACAGCAAAGCTATCGTAAGTATTTCATTTTCTCTTCGTAATTTACTCAATTTGTCTTGACGCTGCGGTCAATAGCAATTTAATGGCATCAATGAAACAGTATCACTTTCAAACGAGATCGTATTCATTACGGTGTTTTTCTCATGGGATATGGGCAACTATATGAATGTAAAAGTATCCAGCGATGCCCATGAATGACATTCAATGGTGGATAATGCGACAGATTTAATTATATTATTAGATCTATTGAAGTTGAATGTCTTTGATTTCTTTTACGTTCCCTCGCTCCTTCTTCGTCATTTTTTTTCTTTGGAAAGAAACAGTTTCAATCAAAATGAATCCATTTTTTCTGCTTAAAAAAATATATGATGGAATGACGTTTGTGCATCATATGAAAAAATGTCCACCTCCACTCTACCAAGTATCCATTGCAGAATATTTTGAAATATTAAAAATGAATAAACTTTTCAATGTCAATTCGGATTTGCATTGAAAAGAAGAACGAACACACTTTCGATGAATGAAACATCTAGATTGTGTTGGTTGGTGCGAGAGAGAGAGAGAGAAAGAGAGGCCATACACATTGAATCAAATGAACGTGTTATTGCACTCAAATGATACAATCAAGCAAACAATTGAAATCGGGAGGGAGAAAAAAAGAGCCAAAAAGCAAATGAAAAGAAACTTGATGGCGTAATATTAGCACGTACAAATGGTGTAGGAGGTGAATAAAATAGAAAAGATGAGAAAAAAAACCGAACGGCATTTTTCCGACTGTTTACTTGTCGACAGGTGAAAAGTGAAATTCATTGTGAGCAAAAAAAACAAACAGTAGCGCGTAGGCGCATTGATACAAATGCACACACTCCGTATACATATATCTATCTCAACTGGATAAACACCCATCCAATTAACTGATGCGCCGCATTTGAAATGTGAGGGATATGGTGAGGGGGCATGGTTGATTTTAATTGATTTTTGCCGATTGTTTGGTTTAATTCGATTTAGATAGTCTGATTTACATATTTATCTCATTGACGGCAATATTTTGAATAATGAAATTCATTTGATTCGAAATCTATAAATCGGTGAAAGAGCCTGATTTTGAATTTCCAACGTCTATTGACTTTTCTATCGGATCGTAATTTATTCGAATATGAAATTGGCCAAAAATGCATAATGCAAAGCAAATACAAATCAACGGTTGCCACAGATTCGTTCTCATGCATGTCCATGTAAACGAACACTCAATTTTTAATTGTTTGTTTTCAATTACAATATTTGCTATTTACTAAATTCCCCAATTCAATTCAGCTGCACCAATGACGAATGGATGTGTACGGACACAAATTGTATATCGGCATCGTTTCGTTGTGGTTAGTTTTATTTTCAATTATTTGTAATTAAAATCAGTTCGTAAACTAAACCGTTGAATTCATTTTCTTTTCAAGATGGGGAGCCAGATTGTAAGCCCGATTATTGTTCCTGTTAAAAATTCAATTGAACTGAACTTTGGATCAAATTGAAAATTTTCTAATTATTTTGAATATTTTATCGAATAGGTGTGGATGCAAGCGATGAACAGAATTGCATCACTGATAGCATTTCACAATGTCCCGAGGGCGAATTTAGGTGTGGTGGTAGCTCGATTAACTATGCAGCAGCACCAGGAACCCGATGTATTTTGAATCGTTTTCGGTGCGATGGTGAAAATGATTGTGCGGGTGCGTAAATGAATGCTTTTGGATTTTTCTTCAACTTTTATCACTTTTTCCATAGCATTGAGTGATATTTCCTAAATATATTTTTAATTAATAGATGGATCAGACGAAGTGGGTTGCCTAGGGATTAAAGCAGCTAGTTGCTCTAGCAACGAATTTAAGTGCGGTGATGGTACCTGCATTCCAATTCAATGGAAATGCGACATGGAACAAGGTGAGTGAGTGAGAGAGAGAGAAAGAGAGCTTAAATATTGCTTTTACGTGCTTAATTAAAAATGTAATGGTTGTGATTTGTTGAAGACTGTGACAGTGGTGATGACGAAAAGAGTTGTAAACTTGACGAAAAACCTATTAAACGAGCATGTGCTGATGATGAATATCAATGCAAAGATGGTCGATGCATTTTGGTAAGTTAAATGAACTTTTACACCCAATCGAAAAGGACACTTACATCTTCATTTGTAAAATTACCTCTTCGATAGAAAACATGGTTGTGTGATTCAATTGCGGACTGCAAAAGAGCCGAAGATGAGACAAATTGTCAGGTAAGCTATTTTTATATGACTTTAATCGTGGTCTCATTTTAAGTCAACCATCATGACTGAGAGATGTCATATTGTAAAAACGCCATCTGGTGACGTGTGCGAATTGTGGTTGAAAACAAGCGATATGAAAATTTAGTTAAGACACCATCCAACAATTCCGTCTTTGTAATTACATACATTAATAACCGCGTCAACAGATGGCGCAGTATACTGCAATATATTGTGCGACTTTTTACTCGCCTATATTAATATACAGGGACTCATGGTGGTTGTTTTAAGTGAAAATTAAAAATGTTCTTTTCAGGTTACATGCGATCCGGGCCAATTTTTATGTCCAATGTATAAAAATATAACAAATGCTCGCATTTGTGTTAATCAAAAACATCGTTGTGGTTAGTTTTATTTGCATTTTTTTGTAAATTTAAAATGATTCATTACCTAATCGTTCGCATTCATTTTCTATCAAGATGGACAGTGTGACTGTGTACGTTGCGAAGATGAAGCCGAAGAAAATTGCCCAAAGGTAAAAATAGAACATCTTTTTTGACGTTCGCCTTTAATGCCAAAATTTATATATTTTTTTTCTTTGTGTAGGCGAAAAAATGCGATAGAAATTCTAAATGTGAACAACTGTGTGTGACGACACATGATAGCAAGGATGGTAAGTATTTCATTTTCTTTCTTTTCAAATGATTTCGGCGCTGAGCTTTCGGTACGGAATATAACGAACAATGTAATGACATTCATTTTTATTTTTTTAATGACCACTTTCATCAGGATGTGCGTGCCGAACTGGATTTGTATTGCATGAAAATAAACACAAGTAAGAATTTTCATTTTCAACCCGTTTTCACATGATTAAAAAAAAAAATTTTAAAAAAATTATTTCTAATTGTAAAAAACAATATTTTTTTCAAACAATCCCAGTTGCACCGATATTGACGAATGCCAGTTTACCGTCGATCCGGTTTGTTCCCAAAAGTGTATCAATACGGTTGGTTCCTTTCAATGCAGTTGTACAAACGGTTACATATTACGTCCAGATCTGCGAACGTGTAAGGCTCTGGGAGGTGCTGTCAAATTAATATTGGCAAATCGTGTCGATATACGTCAAGTTTCGCTTAGCAACAATCGCTATACATCCATTGTGAAAGGACTTCACAATGCCATTGCTATCGATTTTCACTATAAACGAAGTCTTTTATTCTGGTCGGACGTCTCAACCGATGTAAGTCATTTCCATGTGATTTTCATTTTTATTTCAAGCGATGAATAAAATGTTTCGATTTAGGTGATTAAAATGTCATACATGAATGGAACTTCCATAAAAAACGTAATAAAATGGGGTCTAGAGTCACCAGGTGGTATTGCTGTTGATTGGACACATGACTTATTATTCTTCACCGATTCGGGTACAAAGAGGATTGAAGTTTCAACATTCGACGGTTCATTGAGAGCCGTTATTATTGCCAACGATTTAAATAAACCACGTGCTATTGTTGTACACCCTGGTGAAGCGTTAATCTTTTTTACTGATTGGGGTAAGTTTTATGCCTTGTTTCATGTAACGTTTTGATATCACTTACATTTTTATAATCAGGCTCTGGAATTTCAGGAACAAAACCCAGAATTGACCGAGCATATATGGACGGTACGGATCGAAGAACAATCATCTCGGATGGAATTTTCTGGCCCAACGGATTGACACTGTACATTAAAAGATTTTCCATTTTTTATACTAAAAATGATTCATCCAATATTATAAATATTTTTTTTTTTTGATTTTTTTAGCGATTACTCGGGTGGCCGCATTTACTGGGCCGATGCGAAACATCATGTGATTGAAAGGTATTTTATCGCATGGATTTTTTCAATCTAGAACGAATTGATTTGAATTTTTTGTTATTTATAGCTCACATTTCGATGGATCCGATCGGAAGAAGGTATTGTTCCTTCATTCAAGTTGAAATATATCTTTTTACCTGAATGTTTTTTGTGTTTGTTATTTTTGAATAGATTTTAAGCAATCACTTGCCACATCCATTCGCTTTGACTCTGTTTGAAGATCATTTGTATTGGACGGATTGGAATACGAAAAGTATTTCGGCGGCGAATAAAGTGACGGGAAAAGGATTTCGGAATATTCACATTGATCTACATTTTCCAATGGATATTCACTCATATCATTCGTCTCGTCAGCCAGAGTTTCTAAATCGATGCCAAGTGGATCGCCGGGGTTTACGTGGCGGTTGCAGTCATCTTTGTTTACCGGTAAATAACTTATTTGAAAGTTTTAATTTATTTCATTGTTGCGAGCAATTATTATCATTGACATTTATTAACTTTGCAGAATAAAAGTAACCGACGTTGTGGGTGTCCAATCGGATTAACTCTCAAAGACGACCAGTAAGTGCTTTTAACTGAAAATTGCTTGTATTTGTCATTTGTTCTATATTGAATCCACGAACTTCATCAATTTTATATTTTTTGCGTAATGCGTTCAATAGAAAAACATGCACCGATATTCCCGACAAGTTGCTCATAATATCACGCAAGAAAGATATTCGTGTTCGCCAATTACTTTCGAAGAATTCGTTGAATGAACATGATATGGTGAGTTTTCAAAACGTTTGATAGTCTATGCTAGTACAAGGACTTATTTTTATTTCTTTAAAAAAATCCAGGTCGTTCCAATTGACGGACTAAAATCGACAATTGGAATTGATTGGTGTCAAAAAACCGATACAATCTATTGGACGGATGTTGGTAGAAGTGCAATAAGCCGAGCTCAATTAAATGGAGATAATCAAACCCAAATCATACAATCGAATCTGATTTCGCCAGCCGGCTTAGCGCTCGATTGGATCACGGATAAAATCTATTACTCTGACATGGGCACCAATCGAATTGAGGTGGCCACAATTGATGGTCGATTGCGTACAATGTTAATATGGCAAGGAATTGAGAAACCACGCGACATTGTCGTCAATCCAATCGAAGGTTTAATGTTTTGGTGTGATTGGGGTTCAAAACCACAAATTGAAAGGTCGTGCATGGATGGATCTGAACGAAAAGTATTGGTGTCCGCGCATCTTCAATTCCCTAATGGATTGGCAATTGATTATTCCAGTGATCGTTTGTATTTCGTTGATAGTGGATCTAAAACGATGGAATCGGTGAAATTTGATGGTTCGGCTCGTCGAACCATCATCGATGAAGGTCTTGTACACCCATTTGGTATTGAAATTTACGATCAAAAAGTGTACTGGACCGATATGAAAACGCTTAACGTCGAATCGGCAAACAAAAATAATGGCAAAGATCGACAAGTACTAATTGCAAATGTAAGTGATTTAATGGATGTGCGCGTTTTTCATCGAAATCGAAAAATGATTTCAAATTTGTGCAGTGTATCAAACGGTGATTGTTCACATTTATGTTTGTTAAATTCAAATGGATACCGGTGTGCATGTCCAATCGGAGTAAAACTCTCAAAAAACGGTCGTACCTGCAACGATGGACCAAATGATTTTATTATATTTGCACGACGCACTGACATTCGACAAATTTCACTTGATTATTCACACGATTATTTAGTGGACGTTGTACTGCCATTACCATCAATGTCATCGGCCGTGACGGTTGATGTTGATTCGGTGACAGGTGATATATATTGGTCGGACACAAATGTTATTATGAAATCAACATCGGATGGCATTTATTATGGCAAAGTGATTGGCGATAGTCTTGGCACTGTTGAATCAATGATTGTCGATTCAATCGGACGAAAAATCTATTTCACTGACAGCGGACGCCTTTCAATTGAGGTATGTGAACTAAATGGTTCGAATAGAGCTGCATTGGTTTATACGGATTTGGACTCTCCGCGCGGAATTGCAATCGATTATGCTGATGGAATGCTCTTCTTCAGCGATTGGGGCAAACAACGAATTGAACGAGTGTTTATGGATGGTGAACAACGGATACGAATTGTTGAAAAGGATTTAGGATGGCCGAATGCACTTTCAACATATGCAAAACGTCTTTTCTGGACCGATGCGTCGAGAAAACTAATCGAATCGTGCAACTATGAAGGAAACCATCGAAAAATTATCTTACAAAATCTAGAACACCCATACGGTTTGGCTGTGACTACAAATCACATCTATTACACGGATTGGAAAACAATGTCTTTGCATTTAATTGACAAACATGATTTCACCACACAAATTGTAAGGGATAATTTGGAAGGGCTCATGGATGTGAAATTTATCGAACGCGAACGTAAACGCATGGAGAATGTTTGCGGTCACAATAATGGAAATTGTTCACATTTATGTCTGCGTAATTCTACTGGTTTCTCGTGTAGATGTCCGACAGGAATAAAACTCAAAACCGAAACTGAGTGCCATGCACTGCCGGAGGTGAGTAATATTTTTAATATTTTTTTTTTATTGCAAACATGAATCAAATATTTTCGATTACGAAAGAAAAAAAAACTTAAAAAGTTGTCGAAACATAGGTTGACACGCCAATATATATCGAATATAAGAAGTCGTTAATCTCCTTTTTTTTAATTTCAGAACTATCTTTTGATTGCAATGCGCGGTGGTATTGGACGGATTTCCTTCGACACCGATGACATGCTTGACGTTGCCCTACCCATCGAAAATGTGCACGCTGCAATTGTGCTCGATTATCATTATAACAAATCGAAATTGTACTATGCTGACGTGAATGTTGATGTAATCAAAGAAGTTGATTTGAAAAATGTCAAAAATACCAAAACCATCGTCTCGTCTGGTCTGAAAACAACAAACGGTTTGACTGTCGATTGGATCGCAGACAATTTGTATTTTTCGGATACAGAAACTCGAACAATTGAAGTGACGCGTCTGGATGGCTCTTGCCGCAAAACGATTATTAATGAAAATTTAAACGATCCACGATCGTTGGCCATATCACCACAAAAGGGCTATCTGTTTTTCAGCGATTGGGGAAAGCCACAACGAATTGAACGATGCTTTTTAGATGGATCTGGTCGAAAAATAATTGTTTCCGAAAAATTGGGATTTCCAACTGGCCTGTGTGTTGATTTCAAGTGAGTTCTTACATTTAAATTCACACGCTCAGCTTTTCTAAATGAAATCATTTCTTTTTCAAATTCTTGATTTGATCCAAATACTTTAACGAAGATGCTTATTCTATTCTTGTAGCTTTCACCAATTGTATTGGGCGGATGCACTGGAAGACCGCATCGAAGTTTCGAATTTCGAAGGACACAATCGCAAATACATCGTTGAACATACACAGCATCCATTTAGCATTGCATTATATGAAAAAAATGTATTCTGGTCGAATTGGTACAATAAGTCTGTATCCAAGGTTCCAAAACGAGGGCAACATAAACCCATCGAGATTCGAGGCCTATTAGCCGGTGCACTTGGTAATTTGAAGAATAATTCTTAGCCGAAATGAAATCAAATATGCAAAATTAACAATTATTATCTTGAATATGCTCTTTAAATTTACTTGTTCAGACATTCGCGTTATATCTCAGTCGCGACAACCGAATCAATATTCTCCATGTATGATTCATAATGGAAACTGTACTCATCTGTGCTTGTACAGATATACATCGTACGTTTGTGAATGCCCAGACAAAGCTGATTCTCGAACATGCCAAACAGGTAAATAAACTAATCGCGTCGAGACTTGCACAAAATGTGAAACGAGACGATGCAAATAGGTGCAAATCTGTATAATTGTTTATCATTTTTAGGCGAATTTCCAGTAACTTCTCGTCCAAAGGAATCATTTATCCACGATTATCCCAATGAGGACGATCTCAATCCTATTCCAGAGGATAACAGCTCATTAGCGCGCATTGTTGCTATCTTAACAGCTGTGTTTATTGTACTTCTCATTATCGTATTATGCGCCATACTCTGTAAGTTAATTTTATCGCCGGAATTAATTTCTATTTCAATGAATACATTCCAAAGGTCGAATGAAATGCTGCTCTTTTTAGAAAGAGCTTTCAAATCTATATCTCATGAAGTTCAAATGTCATAGATCAATGACCTTGAGAGCAGGCAATATTGATTTACTTTACTTATATTTAGGTATTACAATTTATAAACTCCTGTATATTTTTTTCTCCTTGAAAATTCGTATTGTCAATAGATTTGGTGTTGAACAACAGCAAAAAGAAAGAAAACCATACGCCTCGCAGTTCAACTGGATCAGTGTTGACCTTTTCGAATCCAAATTACAATTTGCCTGACGATGGAACGGTGACTGAACCAAAAGTTAAAATATGGAAACGACTAAAATACGATAAAGCACAGGTAAATGCGCCATTTCAAGTGTTCATCGTTAAAATAGCATCAAAATTCAATTGAACTGATTTTATTTCAGGATCGTGTGTACGAAGAACGGTGCTTTGGTGAGAATTCTGCGTCGGCAACCTTAATGCCATCCGGTAAAACACCGTCGTCTTCATCAATTTCACGCTCACCACTCTCGACTATTGGATAAATCAATTAAAACCCGAGTGAAAAATCTAATTCAAAAAATAACAAATTTTTATCAAAAGTGATTACTGTGAATATAACAAAGAAAAAGTGAAAATCGCCAATTTTGAACTCAAATGCGGCATCGAGGGTAGATTTTTATACGAAATACAAAAACAAGGAGATCACTCTCCTCACAAAACACAATCAAATCAAAGTTTAAATGAATCGAATCAACAGACTAGTAGATAGGAATGGATATAAAAAAACGGATTCTTTTCTGTTAAGTAAAAAAAAACAAACAACTCATTCGATTCTCCTCTCTATTTTTTTTAAAGAACTCAAATTCATTTATTTTTCTATGAATACGCATTTTATAATTGAATTTATTGAATGATGTGACTTCAACCAACGATAATTAATCAGAATGTTATCTCAGAAATCCATTTCAAAAGAAATGTTTTTTTCCTTCGTTCCGACATGAAGTTGCGCTTGTGACAAAAAAGCGACCCTCTCTTGCGTCCTATATTGACAATGTATTTGAAGATGACTCCATTGAAGGAGCGCCATCTCTTTCACGCCCTTGAAAACAATGAAGCTTGTAAACTTCGCAAATTTCTCATATATTTTTTTCTTCAAATTTTATTTCAAAATTGTATAAATTACACTGTGGGCCCAGTTGGACTAAATTGTATACTTTTACGATTTTTCTATATAAAAAATCCATATGGATTAAAAAAAATCCTGAAGGAAATTCAAAATATTAAAACAATACTCAAAATTATTTTTTTTGAATTCATTTTGTTAATTGTCATCGATTTTACGGAGCAAAACAAAATTGTCAACTGTAGCTGTCACAGAAAAAATACAAATACATAAACATCACATGTATGCTCAAAGTATCACAGCGATAAAGCTAAGTAGTGAGCGCATGTATTAGAATGTTCGCTCAGCATATTTTTCTCTGTTGTTATGGCTTGTACGTGTGTCGCTTGTGTACATGTATTGTTTCTGTGACACCTACAGTTCGTTTTGCTACAGTTCGTTTTGCATTATATGTTTTGCTCCGTAAAATCGATGACAACTAACAAAATGAATTCATTATTTTGTTATTAATTTTGAGTATTGTTTTAATATTTTGACTTTAAATCCCTCAGGATTTTTTTAATCCATATGGATTTTTTATATAGAAAAATCCTAAAAGTATACAATTTAGTCCGACTGGGCCCACAGTGTAAATAAGTTTTGCAACAGTAGCAACGAAAATAGTTAATAATTGGAACAACAACACACAAATATTTTCCTTGGATGGAATCGCAGATTTGCGTTAAGGTTTTTTGAAGAAAAAAGAACTGGCAACATTTTTAATTTTTTATTTGCATAATACTGATAATTGATCTGAAAAATATTCTCTTCATGTTGTTTGCGTTGTTTATTTTGACCAGACATTAGGTTTGAGCTATGGATATAGCGGCTGCTATTTCATAGGCGCTGTTCATAGGCACTATTTATCTCGTTTTAATGCATTTATGCATATTGTGCGTTATTTTCTACATCTCTCTCCTACTCACATTCAAATGTACAAAAGAATAGTAGGCTATGAATAGTAGGCTATTCCTACTCGGTGTTACAAACAGCACACGAATTAAATAGCGCCTATGAATAGCGGCTATGAAATAGCAGCCGCTATATCCATAGCTCAAACCTAATGTCTGATTTTGACAGATATACAAAAATAATATTTTCTCCAATTGTCATCTCTACATATCTCTACACCGTAAGGCTATCTCATAAGTCAAAACACGAGAATCATATAACATAAAATATGTGTGTGTTGTTACTTCAATTTTTTTATTTATAATAAATTCTATTAATTATTTTCGTTGCTACTATTGCAAAACTTATTTAATTTATATATGAGAAATTTGCGAAGTTTACAAGCTTCATTGTTTTCAAGGGCGTGAAAGAGATGGCGCTCGCAGAAAGTGATTCGCTTGAAAGTCTTCTGTAAGAGAGGGTCGCAAAAAAGACGCTTATACATTTCTCGAGATTGACAATATACTCTGCAATACTTTTGCAGTCAACGCAAATGAAATAATTCAACATAGAATCGATGAAAACGCTCAATAATGTTTGGTTTTTTGTTTTGTTTTATTTGAGTTTATGAAGTAATAATCAAAACTAGAATTGGGTACGATAAAATAAAGGACTTGAAACACACACGGAATTAATTGATATCATATTTTTTCTTTCCACCAAGTCCACCATTCATTGGAATAATGATTTGAATTTATTTTGATCAGAGGGTGTATGTTGCCTCAGTTAAATATGTATGAATGAGTAAAAATTCTTTTGTAATGTGTTTTAACTGCTTCGTTTTGAAAGTACCGGGCCAGATAAAATCCGAGCAACAAAACGCTTTTGATCATTGAACTTACCAAAGAAACATTGATAAATGTGTTTACGTAATTTGTAGAGAATTGCTGTGCATTTAGAGGGACATGTCATCCCCAGACAATATATTTAGCTGCCGATGATGCGAAACCTATAACAATCACTTCTATTGTTTTCACTTCGTATCATCTGCTGACGGCATCCAGATGAGCTGTAATATCCAGATGACGACAGCTAAATATATTGTCTGGTCATCCCGCAATCAAAGTAAATATGATTACTGACTATCATACATGTACTATTTAGAGACTTAGAGATAGACGCATATGCCATACAAAAGAGAAATGAAAAAAAAAACAAAGAAATTTCAACCATTATTGGAATTGGATTTTTTTTTATTATTATTTTTTATATACGCTATGCAAATGCGATGAATTTGATTGTTTCGAAAGAATCAACCAATATGCGGTCATTTGCATGCCTGTGAATGTATCTTGTGCCAAATAATAATAACACAATACAAATGGAGAAAAAACTGATGGATTTTCTCGTTGGAAAAAATGAAAATATGCTTGATTATATGAGCAAAGTCAATTCACACATTTCCCTTTCAACCGGAGTGAATGGCTTTGTAACAGCACTGATTTTTCCAACAATGAAACATAAAACGCTGATGAGAAAAAGAAAAAGAAGAAGAAGAAAGAAACTAATGCGAAATCTTTTTTCACGATGTAAATGAAATCGTACCTGAGAAAATTTTAGACGAGAAGAAAAAAAGTTAATAAAAAATGATTAAAAAAAATTAAGAATATTTTTCGAATGTTATGCTGGATATTTTTTAGTTGTTACTATTTCATTTTCAAATTGTCTTCAAGCAAAACAAAAAAAAACGCTTGAACGATATTCCCTTTCACCGAATTTCTATTGCAAAAATATCACAAACCAAAAAAAAAAAGTAAATAGTGTAGTTATTAGATTCAACGTATCAAAACTAAAAACTTTTTAGTAAAAAGAAAAGAAACACCATTCTTTTACCTGAACTCTTATGAACTGAATCGCACGAGACAGATAAAAAAACAAAACAAAGAAAATATTACTTATGGTTTTAGTCAATTTGAATAAAAAAAACATTCACACGTTTAAAAACAAAAAAAACATATTATATGTATTTGATGAGAAAAAAAAGTTTGTCAATGTAATTAAATATATATTTAAAGTGATTTTGGAGTGAATGAAAATGCGCACCGCGAGGAAGAAATAAAAAATTCATTCAAATTTAGAAGTAATTTTGCTTAAAAAGCACAAATAAGATTAAAAATCACCCCCTACGTTTTTGTCAACACTTCCTTCTCCACTCCCAAAAAATACATCGTATGACAGTCTGCAGCAGGAGCCAAAAAGTTACATTAGTGCTCAAGTTTAACAAAAAACAGACGCGGAAAAATGTTCCAAATAATAGGGCTTGTATGCACCTTTGCACCACCAGCAGCAGCAACCTCAATACAAACGAATACGATTATTATCTGTTGTTTGAATGTTTAAAAAAATTGAATTAATCGTATGATAACAACAAGGAATTAAACAAAATAAAAACCAATACCAAAAGAAGTTTTAAATTAATTTTGATGACAATATTCAAACAAAAAAAAAATTATTAAAATTAATGCGTAATTTGAATTTTAATGATATAAAGTTAAAACTCTCACATAATTGATTGGTTGTGCCAATTTAGAAGGAAATTATATTTTCTGTAACAAAGTTACTTGCGCTTCAAATGGATCAACTGTTAATACATTTATAAAATTGTCAAAACAATTCGATACATGATTGTCTTCATATCTAAAGAAATGACGATGATGTTACCATGGGGCTCCGTGCGAATAAGATCTACATCACAATCATTTCTTTGCCAAAACACTGATAACTTGACGACGAATGTCTATCGATTTTACGAAAAAGACAAAGAAAACATATTTGTAGATCGATTAACTTTGCATACAGGTGTTCACAACTTGTATAATCCAAAGAAAATTTGCCAATCATTTTATGCATGTGAAAACAAAAGCTTTGGCGAATTTTCTTTGATCCCAGTAAAATTCAACTGAAACTCATACCCCTCAAAATACCAACTTAATATATATATGATCCAATTTTATTTTGTCACAGTGATTTTTGTCATTTATTCTTTGATTTAAAATTGTGCACGTTTTAGTGTACGACAACGACACCTCCACTTTTCGAAATTCACTTAATATCACTTAATTTTCAACTGCTGACCCTATAAACCTTGGTTTAGATGTGTCTTATTCGTGTGGTTTTCATTTAAAAAATAATACTATTATCATTTTTGTTATGAGTTCATTAAGCTCACTTTCAAACATGGATCAACATAAATAGTATAAATAAATAACTTTAGATAAAAGAAGAAGAAGAAGAAGAAAAAACAACCATCACACAATGAACGAACGCAAAATTACTAAATAGTCAGTTACATAATGTCCAAAACAATATAATACATGCTTACAATACAACGGAATAAAACAAGGATATATAAATAAATGAAATTCCATAAATTTTTTTTTAGAAATGCGTATGTTTTAATTGCTTTATTTTAATTGATAAATGAATAAAAACGAAAGAAAGACAAACATTACGAAATATAATAAAATATGGAATTGTATAAAATTAAGTGTCGGCGAAACAATAAATGGAAAAAATATAACCGTCAAATGGTTTTTAGTGATTAAGTGTTCGCCTCCATACTTAAATCATAACCGACATTTATATTTATAATACATAAAAAAAGAAAACCAAACAACAAACATGAATTACTATTATTATTATTATGAAAGGAAAATTCATTTTATTACACATTTACCAACATTTACAGAGATTAAAAGAAAAACAAACGAAAATAAATGTATTTTGAATGTTTGAAAAAGAAAAATGTGTGTTTTAATCTTTCGTTATTTTTATCGATTCAATGCAAACTAATAGTCTAATCTAATTATAGGTCATTATATATAGCCAATGAGAGGATATGAAGACTTCAAGTCTCTTTGAGCCGACGGTGGCGCCCCGAATTTCAAAGGGGACGTCAATGTAATTTAACAACTCAAATCGAAACTAAACAGCGCGCCAATTTTAAAATTTGCTGTCATTTACTCCCATTGTATTTGTATATAGCATAAAAAGTGTTAAACACACTAAAACAAACAAACTATATAGATAGTATAACTTAGAACCGGTGAGTGCCACCCAATGCGCCAAATGTAATGGTGTTTTCGCCTGTCATAAATAAGGACATATATGCACATTTTTTTATGCATGATGTTATGCATACAATATGTCTCGTAATTTCTATGATTTTTTTTTTTCAAAACTACAATTTGACAGGGCCGGTATTCTAATGCCACTTTCCGATCAATTTGTTCGGAATTATTCCGAAAAACATATTTCTATGAATGAATATTGTTTTGAATAATATTCTAGCCTAGGGGGTTCCGACTTAAATGAATGATCCATATGCGAGCGAATTTTTCCTATATATTTTGCAAATGTAAACGAATGGTCGCAAATGTTTCTTACAAATTTTGCGAATGGTGGCGGATGTTTCATACAAATTTGCGGACGGTATCGAATGTTTCATACACATTTTGCGGATGGCGCATATGAAAAGTCATATTTTTACATTCAAAAAGTCAAAGTGACAGATTAGGTGACAGAGATTCAAGCCGAATTGATATTTTATTTGGTAATATTGAGTGAAATTTTTCTAAAATGGTAAATAAATCTTTGCCACTCGTAATATAATCACTGTAAACGGTGCCTTGTGAAAGGTTTTTATTTTCATTGACGTAACTTTCAATTTCTTTTATATTATCTGAATTTATTTCTAAAATCTCACTTTTCGAATCGAATACGGCTTCTAAAATAATATTCAACAAATAATCTTGTATTTTTTCTTCAACTGTTTTTCAAATTTAGTTGAGAACAATGACATTGTGTTTGAAACTTCCACGACAAACTGAACACAGCAATGTGTATGTACAAATGTCACACGACAGTTTGTCGCATCTAGCAAGACGTATGCGGCATTCGCGAATGGTTGCGAATGAAATGTACGAATTTTCATAGATGTTGATGCGGATGAATATACTTTGCTTCGTATATTTCATGTATGAATAGGAAAATTTTCATATATTCCGTATAAAATGGCATTCGCATATAGTAAAATGCCCCTTGATTCTAGCACATAACGAGAATAATAGTCGTTATTCATAAGACAAAAAAAAATAAACAATACTCCACTTATTTTGTTCGGAATTATTCCGACACCTCTTTCAACAGTGGAATTATTCCGACAATATATTGAGAGGACTATTTATTTGAAACTAATATTTTTTTGTCTTTTCAACGTTTGGCGTCAAATATGGACACCAAAAGTACCAAAATATAACTTTAATAGAGCTCTACATTTGTCGCCAAACATTGAAAATATAAAAAAGAATTGTTACACACTCAAAATATTAGCTACGGTCAGGCGCTGAATCGGACTGAAAACAATAGAAGTGGTTGTTATAGTGATTGTAGTAATGTGAGTGTTAATATAGTTATAACAATAACTTTTATTGTTTTCACTGAGCTGAGTTGTTTATATAAACAAATGATTCCGAACGATTTTTGTGGATTGTTCTAGAATACCGGCCCAGTTCTCCATTGAAAAACTGATGCATATGCCCTCTAGGATAAAGCTGTCAAAATAATCAATATTCATCGATCACAATCGATTTGAAATAAACACATTTTATTCGAACGAAAAAAACCAGAAAAAACAGGAGAAACGAACAAAAACCACTGAATCGAATAATATAAAACGGTGTCAACAAACGTGTTGATGAAGATTGAGAAATCGTTTGAAAATAGACAAGTTATTTGGCAAATGACAGTACGGAGAGTTCACCGTCGAATGACAGCTTTATCCTAGATGTCGTGTTGTGAAATTTTTCAATGAAAGTTTAAATTGAAAGCATAGGAAACTTGCACCGACCGCTTAGAACCATAGATCCCATTCAAAATATCTTATATTTGTCTATATTCTTTCCTTTAGCACAATTATGAAATCAAAATCAATTGAAAAACAAAGCGCCACACTACCAGAACATCCATTGGAAAGATTAAATCGGCATCAACATCATGGCAGGCTCAGTCTTGCAGCAGTGCTATCCAGAAACCACCTATACAACCAACTAACAGATACCAATAGATTCAAGGAAAATCCAAGTTGCAAGTTAAAGCATGAACCGAATATATTCCACAACCTAGATAAAGAAAAAAGAAAAATTAGTGGTACATTTCATAGAATCAAGATGATAAACGATTGGGATATAAAGACATCATTCTTAAAATGTGTGAAAAGAATAATTGAAGCTTACAACGACGTGCATTCTAAATTATACTACAGCACAGCATTGGAAGTTTGCGAAGAGGAAGAGACAAAATTAAAAGATTTGCTGAAAGGAATGAAACTAGTCGAATCACAAAAATGTACGATTGGAATTATGACAGAACACATATTTTTAATTACAGATCGCAGACTTGAATGGGCGGACATAATCGATAAATTCATGAACATCAACACAAATTGCATATTTTTACATGAGCAAATGGAAAAATTGTGTTTTATCAATTCTGGAATGGCGCACTTTGAATTTGTACCAGCAAATGGTAGTATCGGTAACCACTCTGTCAGTGCACGCACACAGTAGTGTGCACACTCACACTCAATGTGCATCGCACACAGTGCTTGTATTTTGAGTGTGCACGCACACTTAGTTACAAATTTGCCAACTAATGTGTGCGTGCACTGACAGAGTGAAAATTACAGCACTGTCGGTAACCATTATTTCGTAAAAGAAAATTCTTTTTGTGAATATAAAGACATGTGGTTAGACAGTTATTGCTCGATTCGAATTCGGATTAACCTATTTTCAAGAATATACCGTCAATTAAAATGATGAATCAATACTTATGAATACTGAATGCAAAAACAAACCTTGGGATCACAATTTGACATTTTTCCGAGCTTAAAAACAAATTGGAAACCTTAAACTTCGATGTTTCAATGGCTAAAGCAATTGCAATCAAAAACGTCCTACGCCATCAAGGTAGCAAAAAAAATGAGAAACCATGAGAAAACAACAACAATAACACGGCCACACAGAGCTGTACTGTGCGTGCCGATGCATACATACACATATACGCTCTGTTCATTCTTCCATTCCACTACTATACGTATCTTTCTGGTCAACAGATCTATGTAGCCATGTTATTGCTGTTGTTTTTTTCTCTTTTTCGATTCATGCAGTGTAACTAAATTGAGTTCAACTATTGAATGAAAGATGGCACAGATGAGGGGCATTCGCATTTTGTCTCTTCATAGACTTACCCGGTTGTGAATGACTTTGAATAATTTTATATCAGATCGAATTATAATTGACAAAACACAATCAATGCATTTTTAGACAATACACAACTCCAAAATGTTTGAAATAACTAATTAACTAATTACTTATCAAAAACATCCTTTGGATATAAAATAGTGATAAGTGTACACAAATTCGAAAAGCTTTTCATTACACTCTATCATACCAAGGATTCCATAGCTTACAACTTCAATCAATATTGGTTATCTATTCAATGTGTCACACATATTCACTCTTCACTATGACGCAATTCTATTTAATCAGCTGTTCAATATGAAATAAACAGATTTTGTTTTGAAATGGCATGAGTGTGATGTTTTATTGTTTTTTACCTTTTAAAACAGTGATATTTCATCCATTCTTTTTCCAAAATGAAACACAACGTATTTTTTGCTTGGTCTAGTTGTTTTTTTCTTTAATTTTTATTGCCTGTTATTTTCTTCTGAGAACAAACTATATCAATTAACCGAAGGATCACATTTTCGGTATACTTTTTTTACATATGGAATTTTTTCTTCACAAACTAACGAATGTTTAATTGACTAAACTGCTTTAGTTTAAGCACATTCTAAAATAGCATCAGGTAGAGAGGATTTACACCATATTGTTAGCGGTTTTGCATTGGCGCATGGCTTCATTGAACCCTTGACAGAGGGACAAATCGTGTTGGTTTTCAGCGCATTCCAAGAATTGCTTGATTTCCCATGAGCATGGACCGGTTTGTGGTTGTTGGGATTGTTGGTAGGCCGGTTGTTGGTAGGCTGGTTGAGCTGCTGGTGCTGCTTCTGCCTTTGAGTCGCTGCCGCCCGAGAATAATCCTGTGACAGCGTGACCAACAGTGTGTCCCTTGAATATAAGAAGCAAAAATCGAATAAGCCACCATTCGATGAATCATAAAAACAATTTAACTTACAATAGCTGAACCAACAGCGACACCACCAGCGGTGGCTGCCATTTGTTGGAACATTGATGGTTGGCTTGATTGAACAGGAGATCCAACAGCGCTTGGTTGAGCTGCCACTGGAGCTGGTGTTGAAGCGGGTGGAGGTGTTGGTTTGGCCGGTGCGGCTGCCCTAGCTGGGGGAGCAGTAGCCATTGTTCTGTAATGGTAATTAAAATGACGAAAATAAAATTAATTAAACGCGTAAATTGATGATTACATTAATTTCGAGAAAAATAGCACATGTTTACTGTAGTTGCATTGTCATGTGACATTGATGCTGTAAGATAAAAATAAATCAACGTAGAAAACAAATGTCGTACACACAGCACAATCGAATGACACATCAACGACGTCATCAACGAAAAAACATACGATTCGAGTAATCAGAGTGAAAATTGTGAAATTCAATGTAATTTTCCGCAATACTTTTCATTAACATATCTTTCATTCAAGGTTATGTTCATATTGTTATGTAACCAGATGACTACGATGAATTTACTTCCGCGGAAAAATCGATTAAAATCAATGAAACACAGTTCACAATATTTAACAATTCAAATGATTCTTGTTCACTTTTCCGAAAAATACTCCGTGAGAAACACTTGAATGTTCAACGAATTCATAAGAAAATTGAACTTACCGTCGGCCAACTGGTGGTGGTGATGCTGAACGTCCTCGTCGTGCCATTTTGTTATATTTTTATTACTTAATTTACTTCGATTAAATAGAAATAAACACTGGAATATGAAAAAAAAAAAAAGAAAATAAATTATTCTGCACTACGCTCAATGCAAAAAAATCTGAATAGTAAATGACTTTGTGTGTCTACCTTTTAAAATGTGTTCCGATTACTTTTATGTCTTTCTTTATACTGAACTGCGAAAAATGAATGAATGAGAATTTCACTTGACATCTCCTATTCGAATTGGACTTTGGACTTTCGAAAAAGTTCCGAAGAATGGTCTAGAATATTCAATGAATCTGATTTAAAGTTTGAAATAATCAACAGATGGCGCTGTATTACACAAACGATCATTTATTTAATTTTCATTTTGTTCCAATGAATTTTTTCTATTCATATTTTTTTGAAAATAAAATAAAATCAAGTTTTCCAAATAATTTCACATTCAATTCGATGCAATCACATTTTCGAATATTCGATTCGAAATTGCCCCTTTCGAAAATTTGTATAGTTCGACCATTCGACCAGATGATTTCATTGACAACTTTGAAACGATGAAACGTCACCGAGAAAGAAATTTCGATTAAATAGAATTTTTCTTTCGCCATATCCACAGCTTAAGCCCATTTTCACAAAGAATTTCTTATCTTAAAATGGCGAACATTTTGGAATCGAATGTAGTTAGTTATGTTTGTGCTTGTGGTCACCTGAATCCAATCACAAAATTGTTTTTCTGTCGACATTGTTTGAAGCCGAGGTGCGGTTTTTGTGTGTGTCATGAAGTAAGTTATTTCTTTATTTGGACGCTTTGTGCAATGTTTCAAAATTGAAAAATAAAATTCATCAAATGTTTAGGTCGATTCTCATTTTTGCTACAATTGTTTGGAAAACATCCCATCGGGTGAAGCAAAATTGAAGAAGTATCGGTGTAACAAATGTTTTGAATGTCCAAGTTGTCAACATACGCTGTCATCACGAGCAACAACTGTTCAATTACCACGAGATGGGGATGTGAAGACGGAGAAAGGTGATAAAGCCGAGACATCAGCTACAGAAGGTGGCGGTATCAAAGAAACAACCAAGGTGTCAGCTCGGAAAATGTATTATTTATCGTGTTTGGCTTGTCGGTGGACATCACGGGATGTTGGACTATCCGATCAAACAAATGGTAAACACACACACACACCAAATGTTCCTTGTATTTGAATCCATTTAAGTCGTCTTGAATTAATTGTTAAAATTCGAAATGTTTTCAGCGGCTGGAAATTGGCCAGAAATCGAATATGCACATTCAACACGATTTTCAAAACTTATGGAATACTATCAAGATACAGTTATAGTGGATAAGCAAGAGAAACAAGATTATTCACGCCGAATGACACCGAAGAAACATAAATTTGGTAGTTTAACGGTAAGGATTTTCCCATCAAAAATTGAATTCTTTCAAAATGGGTGAAAATTATCACGGAAGTTGAACATCTTTCACATATCTCTCTTGTAATTTTCCACATATAAGGACCGTACTGGATTAACAGCGTCCATGGTACGTCGTCAAATGGGATGGAGTGAAAAGTTGACGATAAAGAAAAATCCGATAATTTCACCGTCCGAAGCCAGTGAAGATGTTGATGAATTGCCAAAAGACATTTTCACGCAACCGATCAACTTAAAATCAGTGACGACGTTAAAACAACGACTACAAAATCCAGCACTCCAACCATCATCGGTGAATAACTTGTATCCGCAGCATAAAAGCATTTCAATAAAACGTTCTTTGCGATGCAAACAGGTAATCACATTAATTTTTTATTGAGTTAAAGAATTTATCATGTTGTTTTTTTTAAAAAAACAGTGTCAACATAATGTTCTAAAGCCGGAATTCAATCCGCCTTCAATAAAATATCGTATTCAACTGTATGCCAGTGCACACATGCCCGATGTACGTCTCATCAAATCGCAACCAATTGTATTCGGTTCAAGCGATACATTTACAATTCATTTGCGTTTAACGAATCCAACACTGCACGATATGACCATAACAATTATGGATCTACCAACAGCTGACGAAGAAGATTTGATAATATCGGAGTTGAAGAGTAGTTTTGAGAAAAGCTTGAATGCATCATCGACTGTCACAACGACAAGTGGTTCGGCACCAAGTAGTCTAACATCGTTGCCGTTGAGCCGACAACAATCGATTATTGCCGAAGAATTGCGATCCGTTGGCGACAGAGTGAATGCAACGGTTATCATTCCAGATTCATCATTCATTTTGAATTATCGCGATGATGCGGCCGAATTTGATGACGATGATCAAGTGAAAAAAGAAGAATTAAAATTCATTTTGTGGCGCAAAGCAAACAAAGTGGCAATCGATCTAAACGTACGACCACAAACAAATTTGTTGAAAGTCGGCGATGATGTGGTTGCCGGATTTACAATGCAATACACTTATGTGAATACAGTCGTCGGAAGCACAGCTGCAAGCAGCACATCGAGCAGTGATAAAAAGGAACGGCATGCATTAAGTGTTCGTGTATACGTTCGTCTTGGACAAGTTCAACCAAAATAATCATGCTGCAGCACAGTTTTTTTTCTCGTTGCAAATCTTAGCTTTGATAATTGAAATATGGTTAATCCAGTGTCTTAAGTGATTAGAAATGCCGTGGAATTTTCATTTTAAAAACAATGCTAATCTTAACGTTTTTTCATTTAGTTTTGGGTATCGCACAGATGAATTGACACATTTTTTTTTTCTCGTTCCGATTTTGTTCTTGAAGAACATTGTTTTTGAATTGAAAAATTCCATCACTTGATGTGACTCTAATTTATTAAACAATTTATTGGCATAAATACGATATACTCATAAATCAACTCCCATTATTAATCAAATCGAAATAAACTATTCAGTATTCATACAAACCCAATGCTTTTCAATATTTCATCATGCCTTTTCAGCGATGCAAATGAGAGTGTATTAAGCATTGAAGACTATGTCATGTAAGTAAATTGGCAATTGAATCGACAAGCGTGAAAATTTCAATTGGTTTGTTGACATATAATATTCAATCAATTAAACATTGTACGTAAAAGCTTGAATTTGTCCCGCAAGCACAGAAAGACCGAACTTCGGTCACCGAGGAAATATTGCTTCTCCAAAAATAATTGAAAACGTTTTACTTTCATTGCTTCGAATCAAGATCACACCGAAAGGTTCTTGCTAAGAACTTTATATTAAGAATTTTCTTATTTTCATAGTATGGAAATAGGTGAAATATTCCAGTATGATTTACTTTCCCGAAACTGTTATTGAACCGATAATTTCTCACATTCTCGAAAAATGATTTTTGATGAATAAAAACAATTTTATTGTTTACATTCGTATGGCACGTGAAAAGATATACACACTGACACCGAAAAATGTCACACAAAATTCGTACATCAGCAAATTATAACTCATTACACAGTTATTAATCATCCGGCAGCAACCATGGTTCATTTATGTTTAATAATGTTTTGTCATGGAATTTCAGAATCGCAATTAAGTGTGTTGCTTAATTTTCGTAATGATCGTTAGCAAATAATTCGTCATATCGCTAAATATTTATAGTCCCTTATCGCACGCGTTACAATTGATTTCGCATCTCTGTCAATATGCACGAAAAATCAAAAGGCTATCGTCTGATTAAATTAAATCAATTGGCTCCACGAAACACACACAATTGATGTGAGCTGTGCGATCTGTCTCAAAATCGATATATAAACAGTGTTTTGAGTCATTGAATTTTCAGTATATATCGAATCATCTTGAGTGTTGGCCTGAAAGTGTGTGAGAAAAAAAACTTGTTTGCAAATTGGTGTGTTAGTTCCAAGCAATAGCCATTATTTCCTAACATCTATTGCTTGTATTTCACAATGTCATTCTCTTCGACGCCAAGCATAAATGTTATCACGGAGTTGATTTCACCGCCTCAGAGCGACAGTAAGTAGTAGACAATGAAAATTAAGTGTTTAATTTAAAAAGCAACTGCCAATTGACTCTTTTTCGTGATCCTTTCAATTGGTTCATATTCAAATGATGTTCGTCGATTTTCAAACCATATGCTAGAACAAACGTACTCTGATTAAAAATTGTAAAGAAAGAAAAAAAAGTCAAACTTTTCAATTAGAACTAAATTAAGTATGAATTTTTTTTATTTATTAAAAATTATGACACATGTACAAATACAATTTTTCCGTTTAAAAATCTATTCATTCGAATTTTTCCATGTGTGTCTCATGTCTCTCATGATTTCCTCCTGTCTATAAAGATTCGTTCGGAAATCTTTCGATATATCTTTACATTTTGACTGAATCGTTTTCATGCGATTCAGTGTTTTGTCAGCATTATCGAGCGATGCAAAACCTTTAGCGAGTATATCATCCAGACTCTTTTTCTCTTCGACAGCGATGATAGTTTCCTCCAATTTTTGTCGTTTACAATTTTGTTCGTATTCATCGACAGCAGCATCCATATTTCGTAGTACATTTGCTGTGAGATTTTTGAGCATATTTTCATTTGTTTGTAGCCACCAGGCATTTCGTATATACTCCTGATAATCATATTTATCGTAAATCACATAGTCTGGTAAACGTTGTTCATTGGCATATCGTTGATATTGAAACGATAGCAAATCGGTGGCGAAAATCGGAAAAGCATCTAACCAACTGTATTTGATTAATTTCTCTTTAAATTCAAGTGCATTCAAGTGTCGTGGACCCACGTATGCTAAAATGTGTTGAATCATTTTGTATGCGGTGCGTTCGGCCGCCGATTTTGATGCGATGTGTGCACAAACAAATTTTAAAATAGATGCTTCCAATGTTGCTATTTCGCTGATGTCATTCATATTTATCACTTGATGAATTTGTAACGATTTCAAAAACTCCACAATTTGTTCGGTGTGTTTTTCGGCGGTTTTATGCCAATTTTCCGGAAAATACTCTAAACCTAATGGGATGTCAATTTGATGTTTTGGTACGAATTGGCGTAGCTCATATGGAAACAGCATTGGTGAATCGATGCACGACAGAGTGCACATTGAAATAAGTCGAACTATGGCTTCGTTGTGATAATCGATTAGGAAATTAAGTTGTGTCGATGCCTCGAGTAGTGTTGGATTACGATTTACAGAGTGATAAATTCGTTGCCACAGCTCATCGGCCAGGCAAATTCGAAGGAATGAAACAATTTGTTGCATTTCCAATTGATCATCGTAGAATGAATTGGCCGCAGTGTACTTTAGACCATGTTTTGTTAGATGACATAAATTGTTCGTGCCTCGACCATTTGCAAAAATGCATTCGTCAATTTTCTCCTCGTCCATATAATCGTATAGATTCAGAGCGTTTCGTACTTCATTCAAATCGCCTGTATCCAAACTGTAGACTATTAATCCGGCCGCATTGTTCAATTCAATTGCTTTCATAACAGCCGCAAACCGTGCCCGACTTTCACGCAAATTTTTCGTTGTCATAAGAAATAGAATGGCATTCGTGCCATCGATATCTTTCCTAGTGTACGCTGTTTTGCTTTCGTTGATCAATTTTTTGCCGATTAGTTTTCGCATGCACACATTGATGCGTTGATTGTTGATCTCGTGTTGTTCCACAAAGAAAATGTCATCTTGTCGCGGATATTTTGACAATTGTCGATAGAAAACGTTGTCCAACCATTGGCTTATTTTGCATGATGCATCCTCATCGGTGTCGGGAAAAGATATAATGCATTTCCAATAGATATTCAACGGTTGTTTGACTTTAATTTGTGCAGTTAATTTCACAAGTTCGGGCGTTATGACATTCCACAAATCAATGCTGTCCTCGCGTATTGGCGGTGCGATCAATTTGCACGGCAGTCCGGAACGATATCTTTTCATTAGGCTCAATGTTTTCGACTGCAACGGATGATGAAGTTCTGGAATTAATTCTTTCATACTTTTTGTCGGTAACCATATTGGAGTATTTGCAATTTTTTGCCTTTGTTCAATCTTTTTGCGCGTTAAATTTCGCCAACTGACAAAGTATTTTTCAAGTATATTTTTATCCCAAGCGGTTTTCACATCGTTCGCAATCCGTTCCAATTCCGTCGATACAGCTTCATTCGCAAGATCTGTATAAATTTTATTAATCGATTCTTCGATAGCTCGATGTCGTTTGATTTCTGTGTTGGCCAACTCCACTAGATTATTCGATACATATTCTCCGATTACTTCTTCAGCATATTTTTCCGATAATTTTTCAATTTCTTTTCTTTTCATTTCGAGCTCAAGTTGTTTTTTTCTCTCTTCTTCCGCTTTCTTGCGTTGACGTTCTTGCTCTTCCAATTCTGCCTTCTTTCGTCGTTCAGTCTCTTCAGCTTCTTTCCTTTTACGCTCTTCTTCCTTTAATCTAACTGCTTCTTTTTCTTGCTCGAGTTTTAGAGCTGTCTCATTATCGGTGTCTTCCAGTGGCACAATGCCTGGTATCGTTGACGACATGATACCACTAAATAAGCTATTGCTAACGATTTGATGATTTGGTTTGTTGAATGTCGTTGTTTGACCCATAAATCCTGTGCTGTTCGTTTTTTGATTCGTAAAGCTACCAAAAATCGACGGTGTACCTGAGGCTAAATTACCGAACATATTCGGTGTTTGATCGGCAGATGGTTTTACTTGAGAAAATAGTCCGGGTTCTGGTTTTGACGTGACTACCGACGAAAAAATACTGTTATTCGGAACGGACCTATCAATTGGTTTACTAAATGCTGTATTGTTTGTAAACTTGAACGTAGCACCGTCAGATGTATCAAATGTTTTTGTCGATTCCGTTGAATTGCCAAATATATTCGTCTGAGGTGTGGACGACTGACCAAAAGCACTGAATACATTATTTGCCGAGGATTGAATCTGACTGGGCTGTATCTTGAACAGTCCTTGGCCTGATGCACTTTGTGTTGAAGAGGTGTTGAACTTATTCGATCCAAATAAAGAAGTCGTTGTATTCGATGTTGGTGCGGCAGTAAAAGTATTTTCAGATGAAACTGCAGGTTTTGGCGATAGTCGTGATTTGGGACTTGATTTTGGTGGTGCCATTGGCATTTTGAAAATGGCTTCATCCTCTTTGGCTGGAACTGGCACAGATTTATTCATTCTGGCCTCAATACGTGCTTCTGGTTTGAAGTAGTTTTGATCATCCGCTGACCACGCTCTCGGTAACAATATTCTATGGAAATAATAAAACGATTTAATTATAGAAAATCGATTGAAGGCTGAACAGCACAATGACAGTCAATGAGGCAGATAGAGAGTGGGAATGAGAGAAAACAAAAAGTAAATGAAAAAAATTACCCATTTTCATCGAAGCTATCATGTGGTTCGTATTTTTCCAAAACGCTTTTCGAATCAAGCGGTGCCCCATGAACCGCTTCCCCAACCGATGAATGTCTTTTGTGTTCAACTACGTTAATCGCTCGGTCCAATGTGTATGGCATATCAGGTGGAATGAATGAACCCCGGTTCAAAAGTACTCGATCATACTCCCTGTCCACCGTTAATCCATGGTATTCCAAAAACTGTGCACATTGCTCTGCTTCCTCGAATGCCAACAAATAGGTTAAATTTGATATTGGCATATAAACACCAGGATTCCTAGGTGCATACGCTTTGAACATAATATTAAGTGCTTTGAATCGAACTTGCGTAAAATAACGCAATAGAATACAAGCGTTCATGTATGTTGTTGATCGAACGAGTGAGAAGAACTTAACATAATTGTTGCTTTCAATGGCCAAATACACTTTAATCGCAAATTGTATTTCAGGCGATTGTTGAATCTCTTCCCGCAATTGTTTTACTTCCCACAGAAAGTTTGAATCATGCAAATTCAATAGCACAACATACGCACGAAATTCGGCTTCATTCGGGCATCGAATCCTCTTCAGATCCAAGTCATGATAAATATATCTGAAAGAAATGAACAAGAAAAAAATTGTTAGAAAAAAATGTGCCATAAAATATCAGTATGCATTGCTTACTTCAACGATTGCAAACACTTTGTCAGGTTTTCCGTATTAATTCGTTGATCAAAAACCGATGGTTCTTCGGCAATTAATCGAGCCGCACAATGAATATGAAATCGAGCACATTGTTCGACGAGCAGCACGGTTTCGGTACTGCAAAGTTCTTGTTGTGTTATATCCTTGCGAATACTTCTGGTTCGATCCCACAGGAAATGATACCAATCACAAATACTTGTTTCTGGATCATCACACAAATCCATTATGTTTTGGAGTAAATATGTCATGGTTAACTTCAAAACAGGTTCTGGTCGTAATTCGTGCGGTAAAGGTGATTCTTGATCGGCCGAACTTCTTGAATATTCTTTTACAGCAATATTATGATTCATGACTGACTTTGAACCTTCTTCCAATTCAAAACTGGCCACACGATGCTTCGATTCACGTGACAAACGCTCTTTTTCGGGGCACATATCCGGGCATATGCCTTTTGTACTGGTCGCTTTTTTTATATCCACATTTTTGACAGTTGTCAAACGTACCAGTTTATCACGAGCATCCAATACCAAAAATCTATTTAAAATATATAAACACACAATGTTATGTGAATACACACACAATTTCAGACGATGAGATTTTATTGCTTACTTTTCTTCTGGTGTATGAGCCGGTTTGCGTAAAATAGCTTCCAATTCCATTTTAGTAGCTCGGTCCGTTGTCGATAGTGATAGTGTCGGTACAGGAGGAGGAGGCGAAAATGCACGACCAGATTGTTGAGCATTAGCATTAGATAAATTCATTGACGTTTCAGAATTCTCAACTGAAAATGTTGGACGTGAAAGCATCGCCGTTCTTAAATCACCTCTGTCTATTTAAAAAAAGAAAATCAATATTTTGAGCTATCCAAATAATAGCATGGCCTTTGATTTAGTTTAATCTTACTTGTGAGTCGATTGGCTCCAAACACCGCTACTCTCGGTGTGCTGGTGTTCGGTGCGCCGGTCATTGCTTGTAATTCATCTTGCACATCTGGATCCATTGAATCTGCCATCGTTTGGTTTTGATTTGTCCGCTTTTCCGAAATATTTCCGATTTATATTTCACTATTTTACAATATTCAAATGTTCATTTTGCCTCTTTCACACCGTTTCGTTCATGCACCTATCAAACCGGAGATAAAAACCAATACGAAATTGCTTAGCGCATTGAATATCAAAGCGACAAATTGATATACAATTCTAAAAAATTCACTTATAACTCAGTTTAAATTCAACACGGTAGCAAATAATTTTAAATGAAATTATTACAAATCATAACAACGCAACAAGAATATAATATCAAAAAACGATTGTATGTCTGACGCGTTTTAGTTGAATTCAAATCGATGAATTTTCATTTTTAAATCACTACTAAAATAAATGATTATCTATACTAAGTATCACCTTTTTCAAGTTTGTCTATTGATATTTCAATAAACTTGACACAAGCTACGTTTCTCAACCGCAAAATTATACGTTTTTACAGCATTTCAATTGAATTCACTTGGTTTAATTGATATTTTACCGCTTGATATCATCAACACAGCAGTTTTTTTAATATAAAATTTGCTAGTTTGTCGAGAAATGTAGCGTTCGCGGTCAAAACAAATCGCATTTGTGTTTGGACTACATAACCTTTTTGGCATTTTCAGTAAATTGATGACATTTCAGAGCGACGCAATCTATTGTTCGAATTCGACCAGTTTTCAGTGTTCGAATTTTCGAACTTCGAAATATTCCTAAATGCAGCAGCATATTTCGCAACGATGGGCCTTGATATGACGGTTATTTTTATTTGATTATTAATTGAATGAAATAATGAAAATAAATTATTTCATAGCTTGACGAAATTGAAGGAAAATTAGTTATACACGCAAATTTTGTTTTGAAAGAAAACGCGATATAAATGAAACAAAAAATCCCTTTCTAATTTGAATCTTTGCATGGAAAAATCCATAACAATTGGTATTTCAAAATATACGAAATTTTTTGGAAAATTGAAAAAAAATTAAAGTTCAATCTTTAAACTACCTTTCACTTAAAAGATCGCAAAGTTTCAGAAGTTCGATTGAAAGTGCGGGATGATTCAAATCAAAAGGGATTTTATATGGAAGAAGCCATTTCTAAAACCAGTAAGTGAAAAACTAAAGTGAAAAGTGCATACCGTTTGTTTTTTTTTTGTTGATAAAATGTAAATTGATTTCTTTCAAATTAGAATTTGGTTTCTTCAACTATGTTGTAATCTTCGTAAGTGGTTTGATTTTGAATGCAGTGCTAATGGAAACGTGTGGTATGGCTTTTGTGATTCCGGTATCACAGTGTGACTTAAATTTGACCGCTGGTGAAAAGGGGATTTTAAGTGCCGTTTGCTTTTTTGGCATAATTTGCTCCTCACATCTATGGGGCTACCTTGCTGATACCAAAGGAAGACATCGAGTTATTCAACCTACACTATTCATTGCATTTCTATTGTCCATCGCTTCATCACTTGTGCAGAACTTCTATCTTTTGGCGTCGTTGCGGTTTCTCAATGGATTTTTGTAACATGACACTTTTTTCCTTTTACTAAATGGACAAAGTAATAACAGTTTAATTATTTTCATTTATAATTAGCATATCTGGATCGTCAGCCACAATTTATGCGTATCTGGGTGAATTTCATAGTAATGCACAGCGAAGTAGAGCCATAATGGGGTCAGCACTTTTATATGGTATTTCGTGTTTGTTATTACCATCAATCGCTTGGTTTGTGACCAATCAAGAGTGGCAATTCGACATTCCGCTCATAGGCATTACATATAAACCATGGCGACTGTTTCTCGTTATATGTGGCTTGCCTGGGTTTCTGTCGTCGGTGATTTTGTTCTTTTTGCCAGAGAGTCCGAAATTCGTTCTCGGTCAAGGCGATAATAATGGTGCTTGGAAAATTTTAGAAAAAATGAATCGCTGGAATAACGGCAATAATTCACAGCTTGAACAATTTGAAATCTATGAAGAGGAAGAATCGATTGAAAATCGACGCCGAATTTCAGAAGCCAAAGATAGCCGATTCCCATTGTTGAGGTCTATTTGTATTCAAACAGTGCCACTTTTCAAACCTCCACACTTGGGGCCGACAATTTTAATTTGCACCATTCAATTTGGAATATACGCAACGAGCAACGGATTTTACATGTTTTTCGCTGAAATTCTCAATCGAATGGCATCCAATTTAGATAATTTTACTGATCACAGAATTGCCATGTGTGATGTCATTAATATGAAAACAGCCAATATGAGCAACAATCAAGTTCAAATCAGCGAAAGAGTGAGTAACTTTTTAAATCTTTCACTTATATTCATGAGTAATAATGTAATTTCGTGTCTTTCTGTAAAAAGGTTTGCATTACAAAGCTCGAATTGGCAACATTGGAACAGGGAATCATCTTGGAATTTTTGTATGCGGCTGCATTCGCCGTTATTGGTATCGTCATCAACAAAGTGGGCAAATTTCCAATTTTGCGTAAGTGATTGATATCATTTTCAAGTAAATGCGAAACGATATTTATCTAATATTTTTCTTCGTCGACAGTTTTCATTACCTTTGTAAGTGGCATGGGTGGAATTTTTTGTATGCTCACAAATATACATGTGGTACAAGTTTATTCATTCATTGCACTAATGTGTGCTGGTATCGCGGTGAATGTGGTCAATGCTTCTACAGTTGAAATTTACCCGACTGCCTTGAGGTATAAATGGTGCACAATTCATTTCATTTGATGATAAATTTATTTTCTCTTGTATTTTGAACCCCACAACAGAGCGATGGCAATTTGTATATCTTTAATGTTTGGCCGATTGGGAAGTGTAGTCGGAGCAAATATAACAGCACTTTTATTGGAAAATCATTGTGAAACCGTTTTCTACCTATCAGGATCGACCGTGATATGTATGTTATTGTGATAAGATTTATTTTTCTTTGTTATTCTTATCTCTTTTTTCATCTGATTTACAGTGGTCGGCTTACTTACTTTCTGCATTCCCGGTATACACAAAAAGGTCAAAAATCCAACGTAAATAGAGTTGAATGGACCCAAGTTTCAACGTAGATCAATTAGAGAGTTCATAGCCGTTGCAAATTTGAACGCATATTACAAAAAGCTGCCAATCTCACATTTATGTACAATTTGCAATTATGTAATAAATTATTATTGATACGTATTAATCTAAAAGCTTCTTTTCATCGAAACAATTTTTTTTCTGTTCTTTATGACTACTTTTTCAATTCATTCTTACGTACAAATTCTGTTCCAGAAAGCTTAAAATTACTTAAGCAATTTTTATTATTATTATTTATAGCCTTTACATTACTCAAAATTCCATGATTCAGCGTTAATGTTTGTATGAATTATACTACATTTTAATTCCCTTAGATGATGATAGAAGATAAAAGTGAATGTCTCATTCGGTGGTTCCAATGTCATGTGTCAATTATAATCAACTATCATCATAAATATTGGAGCCTTAATTGTAATTATTTATCTATTGTTAAAAGTTGTCTATCAGCTCACTACATATGTATTACGCTCATTTTAAAATGATTTTACATCTAGAAAGCATCTGTTCGTGAAATACTTTTGAAAATTTTACATAATTATATTACTGATTATTTTCAACCGAAATGTTAAAGACAAAAATTTGATTGAAGGCAATATAATTGCGTCAATTGTGATTTTTATCAACTGCGTTCGTACCAGACTGAAATTACCTAATTAATTTTGATAAAAGGACACTCCGATACATCATTGACGAAAGAATTTTTGGGAATCTCTCAATGTTTATAACAATTTTACTAACATCAAATCGTTCTATTATCACATAATCGTTAATTATCTCGTTGTCATCATTTGTTTATAATTAATATGACTGTATATATTCTGCTCTCATATCAATGAAAAGGTTAACATTTTATTCATTTAATGCAATTCGGTTGATTGAAGAAGACGCATTTTTTACAAATTTATAAAAAAAATTACAATAGAATTTATTAAAAAAACAGTTAAATTTTTGCATGGAAATTGTGTGTTTCGTTCTCTAATTGAAACTAATAAAATGGTCCAGATGAAAGATCTTCGTAAATTGGAAGATGGTGCGAATATTTTTGTGGCTTATTTTATCTTTATAAATTAAGAGATATGGATTTGACGAGACGAATTTTTCTGAATTAAATTCAAAAACATTTCATTTAAAAGGTCGCAGAAACTCAGACATTCGGCCGAAAATGCGAGATGACCTACCTCCGAAGAAAAAGGGAATTTATATGGATGAAGCACTTTCGAAAACCAGTAAGTGGACGAATATTTAAAAAGAATAAATAAACTGGAAACACGAAAATAGAGATGTAATCATTTTTCATACTCTTCCCGTAATAGAATTTGGTTTCTTCAACTACGTTGTAATTTTTCTTGGTGGATTAATATTGAATGCATCATTTTTGGAGACGTGCAGTATGTCGTTTGTGATTCCAGTGTCACAATGTGATTTGAATTTGACTGCTGGTGAGAGAGGCGTGTTGAGTGCTGTTTCTTACATTGGTATTATTTGTTCGAGCCATTTAATGGGCTATTTAGCTGATACTAAAGGACGACGTAAAGTCATTCTGCCGACATTGTTCATAGCTTTTTTTATGTCTGTTACTTCGTCGCTCGTTCAAAATTTCTATCTTTTTGCCACGTTACGATTCTTTAATGGATTTTTGTAAGTTTAATTTGGCATAATTTATTATTTTTCATTCATATATGTTATTTATCATAAAAATAGCATATCGGCTGCGTCTTCTACAATATATGCGTATTTGGGAGAATTCCACAATAATCTGTACAGCAGCACCGTGATAATGTGGTCCGCTGCAATATATGGTAGTGGGTGTTCGCTTTTACCAACGATCGCTTGGTTCGTTATTAATCAAGACTGGCAACTTGACATTCCACTCATCGGCATTACATACAAACCATGGCGATTATTCTTAGTTGTGTGCGGTATTCCTGGTTTTCTTGCTGCATTGATCGTACTATTTTTGCCAGAGAGTCCGAAATTCGCGCTCGGTCAAGGTGATAGCATGGGCGCTTGGAAAATTTTGGAAAAAATGAATCGCTGGAATAACGGCAAGAAGTCACAACTTGAACCATTCGAAATCTACGAAGAGGAGGAATCAATTGAAAATCGTCGCCGTATTTTGAAAGCAAAAGAGAGCCGATTTCCATTGTTGAAGTCTATTTCGAATCAAACAGCACCACTTTTTAAACCACCGCATTTGTGCTCGACTCTTTTGATTTGCACCATTCAATTTGGAATTTGTGCAACAAGTCTTGGTTTTTATATGTTCTTTGCCGATATTTTAAACAAAATGGCAACCAATTTGGATAGTTTTGTTGAACAGCGAATAGCCATGTGTGATGTCATTCACATGAAACCACTTAATATAAGAACAACCGAGATCAGCGAAGTACGTTTATGAAATACTTTAGAATTAAGAGTTACACGCCTTAATAGTGGCTTGTATAGAGCAAACGCAATTTAATAGTAATAATTTCTGTAAAACAGGTGTGTATCACAAAAATCGAGCTTGAAACATTGAAAAATGGACTTACTTTGGAAATACTGTTTGCAGTAGGATTTGCTGTTATTGGTTTAATCATTCATAAAGTTGGAAAGTTTCCAATCTTGTGTATGTATTTAATTGAATTAAATATCTCTAAATGAGGCCATCATTCAATATCAAAGAGCTTAAAATCAATTTAATTTCAATACTTTTATACTTTTTATCCGAAAACAGTTACTATTTCGATAGTTTGTGGTTCATGTGGAATTGTGTGCATGCTGACAGATATACCAGTGATACAAATATATTCATTCATTATATTGTTGTGCGCTGGGTGGGGCATGAATGTGGTTAATTCGGCTACGGTTGAAATTTATCCAACCTCTTTAAGGTAAACAACTAATTCGTTTGAAATTACTGGTCATTTGCGTTGCTAATCAATTAATTTAAAAATTTTTTTTACAGAGCGATGGCTATTTGTATATCGTTAATGTTTGGCCGACTGGGAAGTGTAGTTGGAGCAAATACGGTGGCTCTACTTATAGATAATCATTGTGAAATGGTATTTTATCTGTCGGGATCAAGCGTGATAGGTAATTTTTCAATTGATTATCCAGAATATTTGGTTACGATTGTAACTTTTATTTTTATTTCTTCTATTTCTGGATAGCTGTCGGGGTGCTGACATATTTTATCCCCCATATACATGATAAAGTCAAGGGCCCAACAATTCAAAATGCACCCCGACTCAGTGTGGCATCATTTAGAAACTAAATAAAATTATAGATAAGAGAACATTGGACTGGAACTTTGAATGGAAAAAATACGAATGACTTATTGACTAGTTTTTAATCCATTTAATGTACTTTTATGATTGAGTATAATAAATCATTGATGAGAAACCATTTTTGCTCATTTTTTGTTTACATTTTTTGTTTTGTTTTGTAAACAGCGTTCCTCTTAATTCTAAATGAACTGATATATGATGGAATGAATTCGTATTACCAAAAAAGCTATAGATTTGTATTGTTTATATAATATTTTAAAATTTATTCAAAAAGAAAAGGTGATTAAGCAATCATCTAGATATATTTCGTAAGAATCGTGCACGTTTCGATAATATTTCATAAAATCGTGATAAATTTAATCAAATTCATGATATTCACGTTTTTTAATCAAATCGTGTTGGTTTGCTTGAGAGATTTTAAGTGCTATAAATTTTATGGTGAGATTACGATTTTGTAACAAATAAACGAATTTACGAAAGAAAAACGTGATTCTCTTGCGTGACAGCTTTTTGATGAAGTACTTCCTGAAAGTGGACAATTTCAATAAATATAGATATAATATAGTTCTAGGTGTTCAATTAAAAGTGGCAATTCCTTGATTAAACTCAAGTTATGCAGAAGTCACAGTCGATTCAAATTGTATTTCGACACACATTTTCGAAAAACAAGCAAATAAAATCGAAGCCATACGCTTCAACTGTTTACTGTAATCAGACCAGGTTTTGAATTTTTTTAGTGATATAATAAGTCTGATTCAATGTGTCTGGCCAAATTAAATCCGAGTCTAGCTTGTATATGAGTTATCTAGCTTGATTTCATTTATTTATTTATTTAAGAGTGTCTACATCAAGTGAACTCAAATTTGGAACAAGATCACTTCAAAACAACTTTCAAGGATGATTCAAATGATTGTTACCGAGATGAACGTTTTTTTTTTTTTGATTTACAATTGTCATTCAGACGCTTTATTCATTTATTTTCTAAAAATGAATGCGGGATAAGAAGATTTCACTTTTTATTTGTTGTCAAATGATGAATTTTGAATTATGATGCAATTTCGTTGTATAATCAATGTCGAAAATGAAGGTTTCCAAAGAACCATGTCAATTTTTCATATAAAGAGTGAGCCAGCAGTTTTTGACTGAGAGTTTGTCTAACCCTACATTTGTCATAACTGAGCAGAGTGCGTTTAACTCTCAAACGGCACATTTGCATCGCATGCATGATCGCAAATAAGAATTAAATAAATTGAAATGGAAATATTAAAAGCGATGATAATACAAAAAAAGTATTGATTATTCAAAATAATTGGAATAATAAAAATAAATTAAAATAATTTTTATATTTATATCATTTGATTTTTCGGGTGAATCCTTCTATCGTGAATTAAACGTACGTTGTTTTGTTATGATAGCCGCAGGGTTTGACAAATTTGCAAGCAATGACAGCTGGCTCACTTTTTGGCATTCTTCTTTAAAAAATTCCATATATATGCAGTGCATATTATGCACCACAGATTCAAAAAAGTATCTTACTTTGATGTCGTTTTAAGTCAAGCCACAAAGTAATTTATATGTTGTAGCTAGTTCAAAGATTTGTAATATAAAAAGAATAATAAAATTGATATTAAAGATTAATTTTTTTTCTGATTTTTAACAGCTTTGTACTAGAAAGTTTGTAGAAATTCAAAATGCTCACCAATAAAGACCTACATGGAGCAGAAGATGGTGCGAAGTCAAGAATAAATAACCTTACATTTTTTTATCAATCCATTCTCTCTTTTTTCGTTAAAAAGGACGAAGATGTTCAGACGTTCATCCGAGATTTCAAACTGATTTACCTTTCAAGAAAAAAGGAATTTCTATGGATAAAGCCATTTCTAAAACAAGTAAGTGAGAATGATTTTTCAAAAATCGATAGAAAATAAAATAAAATTGACTATTGTTTAATAAAGTAGAAAATTGCACAAAAACTGTGCGATAGAGGTGAGCGTAAGATTGTAATATAATGAGATCTTTTCATTTTAGAATTTGGCTTCTTCAACTATGTTGTAATCTTCGTAAGTGGTTTAATTTTGAATGCTGTATTGATGGAAACATGTGGCATTTCATTTATAATTCCAGTATCAGAGTGTGATTTGAAACTTTCAGCTAGTCAAAAAGGAATATTAAGCGCAATTTCCTATTTTGGCATAATTTGCTCCTCACATCTATGGGGCTACCTTGCTGATACCAAAGGACGACGCTCAGTTATTCAACCTACACTATTCATTGCATTTTTATTGTCCATCGTTTCATCACTTGTGCAGAACTTCTATCTTTTGGCCACATTGCGGTTCCTAAACGGATTTTTGTAAGTTAAATAGACATTTTGGAGTAAAAAAATAGATTTATTGTTCCCACTTGGAAACTCTGCTGATAGTAATTTAAAAACGTAAATTTTATTGAAAATTAGCATATCTGGATCGTCAGCCACAATTTATGCCTATCTGGGTGAATTTCACAGTAATAAGCATAGAGGAAGAGCGCTTATGGGGTCTGCACTTTTATATGGTATTGCATGTCTGTTTTTACCGTCAATCGCATGGCTTGTGACCAATCAAGAGTGGCAATTTGACATTCCACTCATCGGCATTACATATAAACCATGGCGATTGTTGCTCGTTATATGTGGCTTGCCTGGATTTCTGTCGTCGGTGATATTGCTCTTTTTGCCAGAGAGTCCGAAATTTCTTCTTAATCAAGGCGATAGTAAAGCTGCCTATCAAATTTTACAACAAATAAATCGTTGGAATAACGGCAAGAAATCACAACTTGAATCATTTGAAATCTATGAAGAGGACGAATCGATTGAAAATCGACGCCGAATGTCAGAAGCCAAAGTTAGCCGATTCCCATTGTTGAAGTCGATTTGGAGTCAAACAGTGCCACTTTTCAAACCTCCACACTTGGGACCAACACTTTTGATTTGCACCATTCAATTTGGAATATACGCAACGAGCAACGGATTTTACATGTTTTTCGCTGATATTCTGAATAAGATGGCAGCCAATTTAGATAGTTTTATTGATCCAATGGCCATGTGTGATGTTATCAATATGAAAAGCACTAATATCAGCGACAATCAAATAGTTGAAAAAGTGAGTTTTTCTGACAGTTTTGTTTTTGTTGTTAAAATAATTTCGAGCCTTTCTATCGAAAGGTTTGCAACACGAAACTTGAGCTGGCATTATTGGAACAAGGAATTCTTTTGGAGTTTTTATATGCATCTGCATTTGCCGTTATTAGTCTTATCATCAATAAAGTTGGAAAATTTAAAATTCTACGTAAGTAGTTCGAAAAGAAACCAAATGGAAATGATATTTAATGGTTTTTCAAATAGTTTTAATACTGGAAGTAAGTGGATTGTGTGGAATTGCGTGCATGCTGACCGATATTCCGTTGGTCCAAATATACTCATTTATTGGACTAATGTGTTCGGGGATCGGAGTAAATATCGTTAATTCAGCCACAGTTGAAATTTATCCAACAAATTTGCGGTAAATATGATGTTGAATAATTGAATGGTAGATTTTATCAATATAATTGAACCGTGTCACTATGATTTATCAAACAGAGCAATGGCAATTTGTATATCGTTAATGTTTGGCCGACTGGGAAGTGTAGTTGGTGCAAATATTGCGGCTCTTTTACTCGACGATCATTGTGAAACCGTTTTCTATTTGTCAGGAACAACAGTTATGGGTGAGAGAAGATGTTCGACTAAAACAACTTATTTCCAATTCTAAATGGTATTTTCTTTTTTTTTCATACAGCTGTAGGTATTTTTTGTTTTTTCGTGCCCGGAATTCATGAAAAGGTCAAGAGTCGAATGTCAGTGATACAAAATGATCCGCGCTTGAGTGTGGCATCATTCAGATAAAGTGAAAACTGGATCAAAACTACGAATAACTTTTTTCGCAACTATTTTGCATTTAAATTGAGTATCTACGAAAATATATTCTCACTACTGCTTTGTAATAAATTTTTATTTTGTTAAAACATAAATATGAAAATTCATTTGCATTTGATAGCATCCATTTAATTCATCAAATTTTTTCAAATCTTATGCCAAGTTCTAAAAATTAATTAATGTGTACTGTTCTCCATGTCTTCGTCATCCACTTCTACTTTTACGCTATTATATCATATCAAGTTATATTGATAAAAATTACGTCCTCTGATTTGATGTGTCATACGATTAATCCAAAGTGCGTGTAAGTAAACAAAGTTCAATTTTTGTTTAATTTTTCGATGGTAAACAACTTATTTATTTCTGTGAAATTATAATTCTATTTATATCACGTACTTGACTCTCAAGTCTTTAAAATTCATGTTTAAGAATAAAAAATGCACTGATAGGTGCCACGTGTATTAAGAAAATTTAAAAGTAGTCTGTCTAGAGACGGATATTGATAATATATTTGGGCGCAAGTATATTCTCGTTGCTTTGTTTACTAGTCCGGGTTAATGCACTTGTTTGTAAAATTGCGCTACAGGCGACATATTTTTGTCCCTTTGAAGTAAACAGACATTTCAACATTAAAGATTTATTCGAGTTGTATTCTTGATTATTCTGGTGTAAACTTGTTTATTGCTATAAAAATATATCTCGTCATGATTTGATCAATAATAGTATTGTCTTATCTTATTAAATGTACTTGAAATTGGAAACCAAGAGAATAAAACCATAATATACCGATCAATGTCTTTCCCGATTCACTGAAACGAAAGTGAAATTTCTACTCTCATTTTGAAATTACTTTCATTTAATTCAGGGATTGTTCCTCTGAGGAGGAGGAATGGCGAGGAGGAGAGCGAGGAGGATCCTCCTCCTCAACTGAGGAGGAAAAGTTTTTTTTTGCTCAAAGGGCTATTTTTATCACAAAAATATCATTTTTAGCTAAAAACATTTTTTTCCTCAGTTGAGGAGGAGGATCCTCCTGCTCTCCTCCTCACCATTCCTCCTTCTCAGAGGAACAATCCCAATGAAACTTTAATTCAACCAAGTTCTACTAATTGAATATATTTTTTTTGTTAGAAGTTAAATTGATAGATTATATATATCAATGCAAGTTACAACATTTAGTCGTTTAAATTATAATTTTAAAAGTGTCATAAAAATTCCAAAGCAAAATTGAAACCGGTTGCAAATTATATAAACCGCTCTCTATAGTTATGCTAAGTTATGTATTTGCATAGTGAATTCCCAGAAAGTCCAAATATTTCGCTAGAAAAGTTGTTAGAAAAAAAACTGTTTTGATTCGTAAACCTAATTCGTTCCTTGACAGCCAGGGGAGATAAAAAGTCGCAATAGACGATCAAAGTAAGCCTACTGAAAAATTCCTTTACACATTTCCAGATGTATAGCATTCAGCCCTGTAGCTAGTCTGGCTAGGGGGTGATCGCATTTTCTACCTCTCTGCTATTTTTTGATCCAATGCCACAATTTGAAATTTTTGTGGATAAGGGGTAGACTCTAGATCTAAAAAAATTTGATCACGCTACAAGGCTAATATTATTCATATTTTCTAGATTATAAAGTGTAATTAGTCCTACATTGTTGATCGTCTTACAGGCAATCAATATAAAATGGTTTTGCGTATCTAGATTAATGTTCATCCATTTTAAAGCAACCCTTTAATAGTGTCTTGGCGCTTTCACCCAATATTGAACGGTTGACTGAAAATCGAGTAACATATTGATTCTATTAATTATAAAATATTAATAACATATCGCCTTTTGTCAAGCTGTAACGTTAATTTGATTTAACTGTACATTTTTGTAAACGAAATATTTGAGTTCAATAAGAAAGTATTATCGACAATAGATTCTATTTGTATTAAATTAAAATTAGGTACACTAGAAATTGTTATATAATGTTTGAATGGTGTGCCCCTGCTGATTGATTTTCTTATCAATAACTGAAATTGATAATCATTTATTTTCAATGCTTCATGATAGATAAAATGGTAATGGGGTATAAATAGCCGGATTAAAATATTTTGGTCAAACGAAGCGGATAAAAGTTTTTTTTGGTATTTTATTATTAAATCTGTTCGATAAAGACGATTTTTTTCGCTAAAGTTCTATTGTGTGTTTTTAAGCAGAATGTGTCAAACTACCGATCTTCAACGAGTGGAAAATGGTACGTTTAATTTAAAAAAGAAACACACTTTTGAAGGAATATAAGGAGATATTTTGAAATTATTCTTACTTGTTTAAAAGGTGCCAGTGAATCTGATAATCGACCAACAGTACTGGATGATATAGCACTACCGAAAAATGGGTTTTATATGGATGAAGCCATTTCTAAAACTAGTAAGTGCTAAATGGTGTAGATGAAAATAGAGGGGAAAATACATTTAAGTAAAAATGAGAATTACCACTAATTTACAACGTTTTTGTGTCTGTTTTTAAATTAGAGTTCGGTGTATTTAACTATGTTACAATTTTTCTTGGTGGATTAATATTGTTTGCAGTATTCGTAGAAACAGTTGGCACATCATTTATATTTTTGGTTTCTCAATGTGATTTAAATTTGACTGCTGGTGAAAAAGGCATATTGGGTGCTGTGTCCTTCATTGGCATAATTTGTTCATCTCATTTAATGGGATATTTGTCTGATACTAAAGGACGACGTAAAATCATTCTACCCACATTATTCACAGCTTTCCTTCTGTCCATCGCTTCATCACTCGTTCACAACTTTTACCTTTTGGCTACGTTGCGGTTTCTTAATGGATTTTTGTAAGTTGGAATTCTTATGACTTTTTAAAAATTGTAATCGTTTATGTAAATTTCCGGAGATGTGGGATCGCTAGAGTTGTAAAAAAATTTGAATTGAAAAACTTTTCATAATCAACTTCTTAAAAATGTACAATAAAATCTTATATTCATCATAACAATTAGCATATCAGGTGCATCTGCAACTATATACGCGTACTTGGGTGAATTCCACAATAGTTTACACAGGAGTCGCGCAATCATGGCATCTTCGGTAATATATGGTATTTCGTGTCCACTTTTACCTGTAATCGCCGGACTAGTTATCAATCACGATTGGAAATTTTACATTCCACTCATCGGCATTACATACAAGCCGTGGCGACTATATTTGGTTGTGTGCGGTTTACCAGGATTTCTTGCTGCTTTGATCACGCTATTTCTGCCAGAGAGTCCGAAATTCGTGCTCGGTCAAGGTGATAGTGCGAGTGCTTGGAAAATCTTACAAAAAATGAATCGCTGGAATAACGGCAGGAAATCACAACTGGAACAATTCGAAATCTACGAAGAAGAAGAATCCATTGAAAATCGACGTCGTATTTTGAAAGCAAAAGAGAGCCGATTTCCATTGTTGAAGTCTATTTGGAATCAAACAGCACCACTTTTTAAACCACCGCATTTGTACTCGACCCTTTTGATTTGTACCATTCAATTTGCAATTGGTATTATATGTTTCGGATTTGGCATGTTCTTTGCAGACATTTTGAATAAGATGGCTACAAATAGGGATAGTCTTAATCAGCGAATACCCATGTGTGATCTCATTAATAAGAAACCGCTCAATATGAGCGCATTCAACCAAAACGAAACTATTTGCAATGATGTACGTTAATTATGTTAACAAAGCTCGAAGAAATCTCTAAAAATCCAATTAATTTTACAAAATAGGTTTGCATCACGAAGATCAAGCTGGAAACATTGGAGAACGGAATCATTTTGGAAATATTGTTCGCCATAGGATGTGCTATTATTAGCTTGATCATCAACAAAGTCGGGAAGTTTCCAATTCTGCGTATGTGACCCAAAAATTTGAAATAATTATAAATTAAGCAGTCTATGTATTTCAGATGGATATCCATCCGAGATATTTTAGAATATCTGGATATTTAACGCAACTGCACAGAGACAGTGCTGTGTGCGTCGCAAATAGAATATACGGCATTCCGCTACACGAAAAACACAGACACAGTTTGACTGTGTACGTACGGCACTTGATACACATATACGAAGCGACATACCGTAGATTCTATGTGCGACGCACACAGAACTGTCTCTGTGCAGTTGCGTTAAATATCCAGCTATTCTAAAATATCTCGGATGGATATCCATCTGAAATACATAGACTGAAATTAAGTTTAAATGAAAGAAAAGCCGCCCATTTCATTTTTTTATGAATTTTTCCCAACGTTAGTTATCATTTCGATTGTTTGTGGGGGTAGCGGGATTATGTGCATGCTGACCAATATTCCATTCGTACAGACATACTCATTCGTTCTGCTTATGTGCGCTGGGTGGGGCATGAATGTGATTAATTCAGCTACGGTTGAAATTTATCCAACCGCTTTAAGGTAAACGTATGTGATTCCGACCCATTTGCACCTTGATTAATTTATTTATTTCTCTTTTTATAGAGCGATGGCTGTTTGCATTTCTTTGATGTTTGGCCGATTGGGAGGCGTTTTTGGAGCAAACCTAATGGCTCATCTTATAGGAAGTCATTGTGAATTGGTTTTCTATTTGTCTGGATCAAGTGTGATAGGTGATTTTATAATCAATAAATTTTGACCCGTTTCTATAACTTATTTTAAAATTGAAAATATTTCATATTTTGTACAGCTGTGGGCCTATTCGCATTTTTCATTCCGCATATCCATGAAAGAGTCAAGAAAGTGGATTCATAACTTTGCAAATAATACTTACCATTAGCATTGAAATTAATTGGAATGTCATTTGCGCTTGAGTGGAATAAAACGCGCCGGCCATCAAAACCCGAAATGAAAGTAAACATCTGCCTTTGCCTCTTTAATTTTGGAACGTAAAAAACAAATAATAGATAATGTACTTGATAATGTAATGTTGCCTTAATTTATGCAATTAAAAGTTTCTAGTCAGTATACATACAATAAAACATTTTTTTATTGAAAATAAATCTCAATAAGCTATGACGGTTTCATCGATTGTGTTTAAAAATGTGTATAATATAAGAGCACATTCGCAATTTAATCATTTACCATTCATGGTTTAATGAAAAGGATTTATTTGAGGCTTAAACTTCGGAATTATGTTCACGATGGCAGTTAAAATTCAAGGGCTGTTACTTATATTTCTGACTTACGGTATTTTTAGTGATACATGATGCAAACCATTGTCACATTCGAAAAGTGTGACACTTTTTAGTGATAATTTTCGTACAATGATTTATTACGACTTTCGACGTGGATTATCAAGACAAGAGTGTATCGATCAACTTGTTTCGACTTTTGGCGATGAAGCACCATCCTTCAGCACTGTGAAAAACTGGTACAACTCGTTTAAAGCCAATACGACTTCAGTAACGCGTATTAGAACAATTCACGCTTCGTGTATACTCGGCACATCATTGCTGCTTTACGGAATATCGGCCGTTGAGTTCACTGCGAACTGTCGTGTATCTAATGCATGTGTTTGCTCACAGCCACACACAGTCAAAGAAAGTTCGCACAAAAGAGAATGAAACATTTACATATGGCTACTTGATGTTTTTTACCCATGTCGTAGTGAATTCTACTGTTGATATTCGCCTGAGCAGCGAAAATCTGCCGAGTGTATACGAAGCGTGAATTCTTCTAAACGGGTAGTAAAAGTCGTATTGGCTTTAAATGAGAATTAATTCAATCGTGGCCGTGGTTCGCTCAAAGACGAGCCCCACGAAGGTCGTCCAAAATCAGTTGTTGTTCCACAAAACATCGATGCTGTAAGAAACATGATAATGGAAGATCGTCATTTGACATACCGTGAGATTGAGGCATCTTTGGGAATTTCTGTTAAAAGTATATACACGATTTTGCATGAATATTTGGCCGTGGAAAAAATTTGCTCGCGTTGTATCCCACATAAATTGAACGATGATCAAAAAATGTCTCCTGTGAATTGGTGTAAAGAAATGCTCAATAAATTCAATCGAGGTGCATCAAATTTGGTGTATGGCATCGTCACAGGTGACGAATCATGGATATATGCGTATGAGCCTGAAACAAAACAGCAGTCGCCTGTATGGGCTTTTCAAAGTGAAGATAACCCAACGAAAGTTGATCGAGCAAGAAGCACTTTGAAGCAAATGGTCGCCTGTTTTTTTCACGATAAATGGACATGTAGCAACCGTTCCACTAGAGGATCGTAGGACTGTCAATTCTGATTGGTACACCACCATTTGTTTGCCCAAAGTGTTTGTTGAACTGAGAAAAAACAACCGCCGTCGCACAATAATTCTTCATCATGATAATGCGAGCTCTCACACATCTCATCAAACAACTGAATATTTGACCACTCAAAAGTTCGAATTGAAGGGTCATCCAATTGATGGGTAAACTACGTGGTCAACGATTTTCGACGCTCGAAGAAGCAGTTCATGCGTTCAAAACATTATGACAAATAGTTCAAGCGAAAGCAAAAGTGTATCGATCATCGTGGAGAGTACTTTGAAAAACAATCAAGCCATTTTCAATGATAAATTATTGTTTTTTCATTATTAGGCCAGAAATATAAGTAACAGCCTACGTAGAACTCTATATTTGTAGATACTATGACTATGCGAAAATGATTTAAATTTCGTAAAAACTCTACCAAATCTAAAGAATTTTATTCCTGAAAACCCTAGCAAATCAAAAGAATTTTCCCAAAAATCCATTCCGTCTAGTGCAAACACCTTCTCGGATAGAGTAAATTTGTAAAGAGGTAATTGAAATTTCGTTAAAAAAATTAAATTAAAAATGATAAAAAAGTAACAAAATAAGAATAAGTAAATAAATAAATAAATAAATAAATAATTCAATAAATAATAAATAATTAAATAAAATAAAATAAATAATTGAATAAATAGACAAATAATAAAAAATAATAATAAAATAAAATATTTTATGATGAAAGATGGATCACGAGAATGGAAAACAAGCAGTTTACAAATATATAAATGACGAAAATGAAAAAAACGAGATGAATAAATAGAAACATAAATAAAAGTATTGAATAAATGTAAAAAAATTAATTGGAATCGGAAGAATCAGTTTTGTGTGTGCATTTTTTTCCACATTGTGTACACAAAACCGTCATGGTTGATTGTTCACCGCAAACGTTTTTGTTACATTTGCCACAACAAGTTTTTGTTTTTCGACCGAGTGAAGCTGGACATAAATAACATCGACGTCTTTGAGATGATGAGTTTGTCGATGGTTCTTCAGAGACTTCTGGAATGCTCAAATGTTGGCGAACTTGATTCAAAAGTACTTGATGTTCCATGTCCATGCCACGAGTCGATCTGCGAGCAATTTGATCGTAAACCAATGATTCAGACAGTTCAAGTAGAAATTTTTGTACTTGTACAAAGTTTAACTCAATAAAGTATGTAACATAATTTATGTTACTTTCGTAATTTATATTGCGAACTCAAAAAAAGCCTTCCACTAACAGATCTAAATGAAATATTCGTTCACCAAAGAAAATAAGAAAACTGAACGGACGTTTTATTGCTACTATTTCATATGTATTATACACGAGTCCGTTGGCTTTGTGGTCGCGACCGCATTAGTATGCGCAGTCATCACACATTGAATTTTTTTTGGACATACGCACCACCTATACGGCTGCGCTACTGTGTCCGATCTTCACTTATGTGCAGCTATTGAATTCGTATAAAACCATTGGAGACAGGAAACAATAAAAAAATTAGAATTTGTTTGCAAAATTTTCTCTAAATACATGGATTTCCATACATTTTGTATGGTGGGCCTGAGAGGCCCATACTGTCTGGTTGAAGTGAGATTTTGGTTTTTGTCGAATAGCAATTTTTTATAATTTAATATTTTACCGTTATATATTTTTTTATTTATGTATGGATATCATTAGCTTAACGCGCAAGTTTCAAGAAAATTGATTTAGTAGTTTGGATTTTATTAAATTTTTTATGAGTTGCTGGGCCTCATAGACCCATTCTGTCTGCAGGAGGGTTAATAGCATACTTTGTAAGCAGTCTGCATTCAATAGATCTTTGCATTTTTCATGGCATTTAACTCCGCATTCAGTGCATCTAACACCTTGCCTTGCAATATCACAAAGCAGACCTTCACATTCGTAGATGATGTTGCTATCCACAGCACAAAATTATGTGGTGTCGTAGATGATATTGGATATATAAGTGCTTGCAATGATTTTTATACACATGCATTTTCTATGACGATGAATTTTCCCAAAGCAAGAGAAAGTCCAAATCGTAATCATTGCATTCCAAATATCATCGTCATGGTTGAGCACGAACACATTTCCGGTGTTGTAATGATTAAATTTACGACGTTGGGGGTGGTGCAATTTATTTAACGCGTATATTTAAAAATGTCGATAGGCAAGGAGAATTTAACGCATTTTTTCATCAAAATGAAATGCCAATGAAATTTTTTTCGCGCGATAGTACGTGGTCATTTGTAAAAGGATAGTAATAAAAATTCGATTAAATATTATATTAAATATGTTGACTAAAAATCGTGAAAGAGCTCAGTGCAGTAATACTAAAGGTATTCAGTTTTAATTCTACATGCGAATAAAAAAAAAACTTTTATCTAAAACCTAAAACTATATTGATTGTTTGTTTCTGTTTTATTGTAATTCTAATCATCTAAATGAGAAAAATCTGATGAAAAAATCATTTTGATAACAAACAGTATTCGTTATATAAATAATCATATTTTTAGCAAAAAATAAAATTCATTTATAAATTTCAATTTAAAGGTGAAATCAATATTTTTAATATATTGTAAGTAATAATTTTCCCTTAAATTATAATTGTTATAAACAGAAAAAAGAAAATTCCTTATCATAGAAATAATCAATTCAAACGATTATGATGTTTATTTAATATAACTGAAGCGGCATGCTTATGTTAAAGAATTCATGCAATTCAATTGATTAAACTTATTTATACTATCCTGTTCATTAAATAATAACACTATAGAATAATATTATCTATTCTTCGGAGCTACGAAATCAAATTATGATGACATGACTGCTGATACTTGAACATTAGTCATATGCATTTGATGATGACAAACTTATTTTTCATCACATTCAACAAACTATTTACAATATTCTTTTACGTAGATTTTAAAACAATTGTTTCATAAAAAAAATTCGCATGTACGGAATACCAAAAAAAAAATACTTTACCCATGTGCAGCATATCCTTGTATAGGACTGAAAATACATACCAATTCTTCATCATTAAGAGTTGCCCGCGGAACAGCTGATGTTAAACCTGCGTTGCCTTTTGTTGCGGCCATTGTCTAGATTCATTCAAAACATAAAAACACGTGCATGAGAAAAAAGGCGACTCATCACCTTGATTTTCGGATGAAAATGCCAGCATTCTCAGATTAGAATGCCAATTCAGAAAAATTGAAATTTCAGTAAAACAATTGAATAAAATAAATTTTAAGTTGAGCGGCTACAAACTAAAGTATAATGCAAGCTATTCATTTTTTCATCGATGGCAACTCTCTATTGAAACAGCACTGCATATAATTCAAATTTGAACTAATATAGCAATAAGCATAGAATGAACGAACAATTTCTACCAACAGCAAAAGAAAACAAAAACGAAAAAAAACGAATCATTGCTGATTGCTCTCAATGCAGCAATAATTTCAAAGAGAAAAGATTAATGAATTTAAATAAACTTCCCACAAATACATTATTAACATATTATTTGAAAACTAACAAAATTAATTGAAGCGAATATAATATTAAGCCATCGTATAATAGGAAAATGGGAACCATATTCGTTACCATGCTAATAAACAAGAAAACAAAATGTTGGGGGTTTTTCTTAAAAAAACCACTGGTCGATATTAAATATTTTGCTAGAAATATATTCTCTACTATGTGCTATTTTTTCTACACAACAATTTTCATTTTCTTAAAGCTAAATTTTTTCTGAATAAAGTAAAATAAAAAACAAATCAATTTCAAATCTTCAATTGAAGTTGAATTTATTTGAATATAAAAATAATATTTTAATTTCATGTATAAAAAATGTTAAAAACAATGGCTTTGTTGTTTTAAAAACAATTCAACTGAGTTTTAAATTTCAAGTGGTGCTGTCGGCTCTTGTTCACCTTCCAGAGGTGTATCTATGATCAATTTTTTACGTTCTCCGGTTTTTCGGATATAGTATTGACGGCAGTGAATCTCGTCTGTTAGCGTAACTTGTTCTACAGCACAACTAACGATCGGTGTATATAATTCCCAGCATTTTTTTTTATTATGGGTTGCATACCATTTGGTTATATAATTATCGGTGAAATCGTTGTGTGGATTCATATGTTTCACGAAATCAAGTACTTTTCGCATATTCAAGATACATTGGCAGCTGTTTACAGCCCTATTGCGGTTGTCTAGAGTGGGCTCCATTAATTCAATACAAGAATTCCAAATTTTTGTTGAATTCTTCGTATATATACTACCAGTTACTATCTTAGATACAGTTTCCCCTAGCAAAAAAGAATCATCGCTTGCAGATCTATAATTACCAGTGTGACTTGGTCTAATATGATCTGGGGAAGATGAAACGACCGGATTGCAGCTGATAAGCAGTCCATATTGGTTTTGTGCTGTGAAGAAATTCTTGGCTTAGTTTTTATGGTCTTCAACAACTCAAACGAATTGATTATACTTACGAGCACAAAAGCTCACTGGTGCTCCAAAGACGACAACAAAAGAAATTAACACAATCGTTTTCATTTTTCAAAGGCAACTATAATTACTGTTGTCTATACTAGTTGTTGAACCTTTTATACTCATTTCGAATGATCGTTAGTGTGTAGAAAATATTCATAGTTTTGTTGATAAGATGTATTGAAAACTGCTGAGATGCAAAATTAGTATAAATATTACTGTTTATTGGAATTTGTACCGAAAAATTGCATTTGCAATATACAAAGCACACAACCATAGATTCTGACGAGGGTCCATAGGGTCCATATTACCCCCCCCCCCACTGGAAACCGTCTCAAAAATTACCCCCCTACATTTTTAAAAACAATTCAATTACCCCCTTGATATTTGATCATATTTTGTCTTCATTAATTCAGCATTTTTCGAATCAAGTTGAATGTTCCATTCATATCAACTTTGAAACAGGTTATACCCCCCAGATTTTTCGATTTTTTTCTGAAATTACCCCCCCCTCCCCTAAAATCCAAGACGTCAGAACCTATGCACACAACATTTTTCCATTGATTCAATTATCATTTACCAATTTGAGATGGATGTATGGATGTATGGATTATAGTGGGGAGAAAGACTCAAAAGAGAAAATCTCGTCGCGAAGGTCAAGGACCTATTGCAAAGCTACCCGTGGAGAAAGAGTAAAACAGCTCGTTCCTACCGATTGATAATAAAATCATCCATAGGTTTAATGTTGCGACACTATTACGTGGGTTGTGTTACATTAAAAGTATCGTTCCCTGTAACTTGTCTATCGTTATTTAGTAAAGTGGGGGTGTCCCTCAGTTGAGAGAATCTACCCGACTCTTTGATGAAGCTAAAAAATTTTGAAATATCAAATTTTAAGACTTCCTCTGGATTGATCGTCCCCTTACCAAAAATAGTAACTCTGGTACGATCTAGTTGTGTACATGTGCACAGGAAATGAATTGAGGTTTCCTCATTTCTTCCGCAAAGGTCACAATCTGGATCATCCCTAACTCCAATGCGCTTCAAGTGTGCATTCAGTCTAATATGACCTGTTAGGATACCTATGGTATAACTTAGTTTTATTTTACTTAAACTAAGTAGTTGTGATGCAATCTTTTTACTAGGTGTCGTTAGAAAACTTCTAGTTGTTGAGCATGTATTTGTGTTACGCCATCGTATGATAATACTTTCCTGTAACCATTTGTTACATATGTTCCTACATTTCCTTTCGTTCCAAGGAAGAAAGGGTTCGGGACCATATGCTCTTTGCGAAGCACCTTTTTTGGCTAAAATGGCCGCCCTCATTTGTCCCTGAGTTTGGGTTTGAGGTGAAATCCATTTTAGGGTTACTTCCCTACGTTGCGCTATCTGCGTTAGTAATGTAATACAGTCTAACACAAGTTTGGTGTCCACTTTGAAGTCGTTTAATGCTTTAATAGCATACAAACTCTCCGTGTGAATCACTATGGGTGATGTGCTGAGATTGTCATTTGCTATTTCTATACTGCAGTTTAGAATAGCAGACAACTCAGCCTGTGAAATATCAGCATATAGGCCAAGGTATCCACAGTATTCCGTATCTGTGCTTTCATTCCAAAAGCCATATCCAGATCCAATTATGTTTACTGAAGTATCTGTAAACCATCTATCGATTTGTGTGACAGTAGGCCTTTCCTCCATCATTTCTGCCTCCCTTGTCGGTAAAATTACACGATAAGGTTTTTCGAAATATAATGCAGGTGGATTCCTGTCGCTTGGAGCTTGTAGGAACGGTTCATAAGAATACAATCTCTCTATAGCATTCGAGTGATTGTAGTGCCGTACTCTTTCCAAGTTTATGATTGTTCTTAACCGAAATGCTGTTATTTGTGCCTCGGCTGTGATGAATTTGTCCAATGGTGGAATATTTAGCAAAGTTTCCAGTGCTACTTGTGGTGCACTTTTGGCAGCTCCTGTTATTGCCATACACACAACCCTCTGAAGATGGCAAAGAGCTTTCTGTGCCATCGCCGATGTAGTGCCTTTCCACCATATGAACGATCCATACGATATCATTGGTCTAACAATTGCTGTATGAAGCCACAGGAGGTTTGTTGGGTTTAGCCCCCAATTCCTTCCTATTGCCCTTCTACAAGCCCAGAAGACCCTTATACATTAGTTAATGCGGTATTCAAGGTGATTACTCCAGTTGATTTTGAGATAATCAAGAATCAAGCAATCGCGAAACAGAAACCGCTGCAAGCACAGCTGATCGAGCAATTAATTCCGCTGATAATAATGTCAAAAATGTCGACAGACGTCAATATCTCTCTAACACTCTTATTTTTCACGTGTCTAATGACTCTGTGCAATCTGGAAGACTGATTGATTATGATTTAATCATATTAAATTTTAGTTCAAAGTTACTTTCGAATTAAAATGCAATCGCGACGTAGACAAAAAACAACACCGATTTTGCAACCAATGGATTTAGTAAATACGAATATGAAACGTATTTATACTTTCGAAAGAATTGAATAAAAAGCAGAATTAAAAGCAAAAAACTATTACTGAATGCATCTGGTTTTTCTTCTCTTTATTTAATTTAAAATATAAAATTCCGGGGTTCAGAGAAATGAATTTCATACATAAAATATGTATTTGTTTTGTTTGCTTTTTTGTTGTTGTCGCGTGTTTCCTCCATTTCTTCTATTTTCTAGTAACAAATTTTCACGATGAAATTCCTTGTCATACTACTTCGAAAAACAAAATAATAACCTGAAACATGAATCGAACAACAATGTCCAATACAAAAAAAAATGGTCAGAAAGAATTATTCCAACAAAAGAAACTACAACTCTTCTGAGTAAAAAAATGTTGTTTGTTCGTTTCTTTTGTCCTTTTTTTCGGTTGAAACAACATCATCATTAGGTAGCATCGCTTATACATTATTTAAACCTTTGCCCTTTGAACTCTATTTTACTTGCACACATTTTTTAGATTTTCGTTCCTCCATCTTTAAATACTTTGTGTGAATTTAAAATGTATTGCAGCGTTCTTTTATTTTCAGTATTTAAGTCAGTCTTTACTTATCATTGAAACATAAAGGACCTTATACTCCTCGAATTTTTTACATTAGGTAGTAGAAATTTCGGTTTTATTAAAGTGCCTTGACGCAAACATTCAAAATGTAAGCTATTAATTCAAAAAATAGTAAATATCAGAGGTGTCAAATGGACATCTCGGACAAAAACATTTTTTTTTTTTGTAAATTATTATATGGGAATATTTTTGTTCGAGTTGTCCGTTTGCCACCTCTGTTAAATTTTGAATACCAAATTTCGTGCAACTAGTAATCTATTGTTTCATTAAAATTGATATTTTTCAGGCAGTTATTGTTCGTTGCACTGATATTCTATTTTATTTCATCATCAACATCACGGGAATTTGTCCTTGATCTTTATAATCAAAATGCATCATCTATAGAGTTGAATACTAGAAGCATTTGTAAATGCAAAGCAAAGATTACAAGACTCAACGTGTACAACAGTTCGTTGACAGTACTACCAAGTCGTTTCCTAAAAAATTGTATTGGACTAGACGATCTGAATCTATCGGGTAATAAAATTGTGGAAGTTAAACACGACACATTCGAAAATTTAACTGATTTGAATGGCTTAGATTTGTCATTTAATCAACTCACCATATTGCCCAAAGTCCTATTCAAATCGTTAGTGAATTTGCTGTCATTGAAGTTGCAGGGAAATCAAATCCAAATAGTTGATTCAGATCTCTTTTTTCATAATATATATTTGTATACCTTATACATAAATAACAACAGCCTTAACGTTATTCAGCCAAAATCATTTCGTAATAATCTTTATCTTTCGAATTTGCATGTTAACGACAATCGTAACCTAAGTAATATTGATTTATTTCCTGAGGACCGCGAGACTCTCGAATTATTAGAATTATCCAATTGTGGGTTTTCTCAACTTTACATCCCCAAAAATGTTGAAGAAATTGATGCAAGCTTTAATGAAATAAATTCAGTTACGGCTCACCCCGAAAGTGTATTGAAAAATTTGAAAATTGATCATAATTCTTTGGCCAATTTAGCACGTTTACCACGATTAGACAAATTAAAGTTATTGATTATTCCCATAAATGCCATCGAATTCTTTGATTTCCATGATCTTTCACGTTTCAAAAATATACGGTTGTTGTCGATAGACCTAAATCCAAAACAAAATATTAGTGCGGCTGACATAAAAACAATTTTACCATTACTCAGTGATTTGTACATAAATTCTCCTGGCATAAGCATCGAAAATAAAAAACGAATTTGGTACGATTTCAAACGCAACGGAATTAGTGTTGTTATTAATTTCGATAGATCGATTGAACGATATTTTGACGAAAACACTGAGGATGAAGAGGAATGTTAGAATAGGTGCATAGTTATAGAAAAAATGTAACCAAATGAAATTAAATTGTAAACAATTCTTTTTTACGGAGAAATATAGTAGGCATTTTAGCTTGTAAAATGTATCAAAACATTCAATAAAATACAGTTCGCTTGGAACAAAACTGAAAAAATGATAATAGCAAAACAACATGTATATATCTTGTGAATCTAATTGATACGGTCTTTGTGTTCGATTTTTTGCTTCAGTTTGGAGGATACAGACGAGCTCAAATAACAGAAAAAAAGTCTCGAAATAAAAATGACGAGATGACAAAAAATGGTGAAAAAACACAGTCTATGTATTTCAGATGGATATCCATCCGAGATATTTTAGAATATCTGGATATTCAACGCAACTGCACAGCGCTAGAACTGATGCGTCGCAAATAGAATCTACGGTATGTCGCGACGTATATGTGTATCAAGTGCCGCACGTACACAGTCACACTGTCTCTGTATTTTTCGTGTAGCAACATACCGTAGATTATATGTGCGACGCACACAGCTCTGGCTCTGTGCAGTCGCGTTAAATATCCAGATATTCTAAAATATCTCGGATGGATATCCATCCGAAATACCGGGTAGGAATATCAAAAGCAAGCACTCAAAAAAACTTACTCCTAGCGCCACCAACCTATAAGCTATGTATTGTGAGAGCCAACTTCAGACAGATCGTATATATGTGACAAATATTTTTTGACATTTGTAAAACCGGCAATTACGTGTTTGTGTTTCAACTATAAACATTAAACATGCGAAAAGTAATTTTGCTTTCTTTATTTATCAATCATCATTTTACTGTGACTTTTTTTCTTAATCTTTACATTCTTATTTTTTTTGATTTATTATTGGTTGTTTTTTTGTGCTTTACTTTCATTTTTTTCCTGAAATTTTGAAGTGTGGAATGTGCGAAAAATCGTTCATTCGTTTACAAACTTTGAGGGAACACGTCGAAAATGTTCACCAGCCAATGAAGAAAAAATTAAAATGCCCGAATTGCGACAGTTTATTGGTTTGATAAAAATAATCAGAAGTTGCCGAATCAGCTGTTGCTGAACCAGCTGTTGACAATACACAACTTTGTTGAGTGAATGCTTTTGATAATTCGACTTGTTAAAACGATGCATTCACACTTTTTATTGCCGATCAATATTTTTTTATGAATAAAACATATTTTCAAATGATTGGTAATCATGATATTCATTAAATTAACCACTAGAAACATATTTGTGGATTAATTTCGTTTTGATATTAGAATAGTAATCGATACGAAAGTAGATGGCGGTAGGATGTAAAACTCTTTTTGCAAAAGTGACATTTCAGTACAAAATACGTTTTGATATTCCTACCCGATTAAACGTTCTCGTGACACATCCAAAAGTCAAAATTCAGAAGAAAACGTCTCTTCTATAATTATATGAATTTTAAGTTCAAAGCATTAAAATGTTCATTATAAAATAATGTTTGGGCCGGCATCGATCGAAGTAAAGTTTTAAGTATATCATTTGCGGACTGCGCTGTGGAAACATTAACTGATAGCATCGGACTGTATCAATTTTCCAGTTTACGTGAACTAGAGATACCCAAGGGGGGTATTTTAAACTTCCAAGAAGATATTTTCCGGAATAATAAACAGTTGGAGCGACTTATACTTCCGTTCAATCTTTTGGGCGAAGGAGAAATTCCATCAAATTTATTTCGACACACCCCCGTTTTAAGGGAATTAAATTTATTCCACAATAATATATTTTCTCTTGATTTAGAAATATTTGAAACTTTACCGAAAGTGGAGATCCTCAATTTATCGCACAATTGGATTTCAAATCTTCAATCATCATCGCTTGAAATGATGAAAGAGCTGCAGCTTTTAGACTTGACTGATAATGTAATTCATGCAATCCCAAAAGATTTTCTCATGAACAAGAAGAACATTAAACATTTGGCATTGGATGACAATATAATAACGCGCATGGAATGCGAATTACTCGAAACAATGTCAGATTTTGGGTCAGTGAATGTTACGATAAACACTTTGAAAGAACTGGATGCGAGTTGTATAACGAACAGAAATTTGGAAATTATTATTGAACCGATCGATTCTCCACTTACCTTTCGAAGGGTCGGAGATGGTTTCGAATGGATATTCAGCAAAGTTAATTTCGATAATCTTCGTTATTTGAATTTATCGCGCACTAAAATAGAGAATGTTTCAGCGATAATCCAGCAAGCTAGTCCGGACCTTTTAACACTTGATATATCATATCACTTTGTGGGCGAACTAAAAGAAAGTACATTTGAGCGTTTCGTCAATTTGAAGAATTTATGTTTGCGACAAACGGGTTTCGCCAATTTTCAATTCACTACTTTTTACCATCAACTGAATTTGGAGTCTTTGGACATTTCATACAATCAATTGAATGCCATTGATTTTTCGTTATTTTTACGAAATTTTCGGAATTTAACATGGCTGAATTTAGAAGGGAACAAACTAACCGAAATAGACACAGTGACGCATTTAAATTTCCCCAAACTGTCCACATTAGGCATATCGAGAAATAGTTTCTCATGTCATTATTTAGCAGAGTTTTTAAAACAGTGGCATAATATAACATTAATATTTAATCCATCAGGAAAAATACATATGGGTGAGTAGTGTGAAATTGTAGGTTTAATCCACGTTTCTTAGTATTAGTGTACACACACACACACACGCACAACATTTCTTAGTATTTTTGCACACATACACATACACACACACACACACACTGTAAAATCGGTTTTGACCACACCCCAAAACAACTTTTTTTCTCTCTCTCTCAACTCGTTAACTGATCAATCAACCTTAAATGATCAATCCACGCCCCAAAACAACTATTTTCTCTCTCTCTCTCCACGCTCTCAAAACAAGTTTTGATCAAGATCAACGTCTCTGCTTAGTG